TGCTGAGAAGTTAAAGAACTCTCTAAACAAGCTGGAAATAGGCAAAATTCTGATTGTTAAAAAACAACTACCCAATTGGGTGTTGTCCAGACAGGTGGTACCTTGTGATAAAATTGTTGATTTGTGTAATACTTCCTCACTGGAACTCTGGCATGTCCATGAAAACATCAGTTATGTTCCCAATGGGGCAAATGAGACCAACCAGAGCTGCACCAGCACCCTCCTCATCCACAGCCAAGATGAGGGACTAACAGCTTCCCACACACCACAATGTCAACCTTTCTCCCAAGGGGACAGCTTTCAGGTGACAGCACTTCAGTCTCCCTGGTCTTTCAGTCATATGTCTGTTGCCTTCACCAGGAAGCTGGCTCCAGGCTCACCAAACACAGGCAGGGTGGTGATTTAGGAACTGGACTGGCCCTGCCAAGTAGCTCTGCACAGGTGATGGGTGAGGAGCCAGCAGACAGTGAGCAGGGACCTCAGAGTTGCTCTTCATCTGGGCCAGACTTGAAATCATTATCTAAGGAGCAGCAGCTTGGAATTCATTTCCAGTTCCTCAACCAGCAAGTCACTTGAGCAGGTTTCATGTTGCTGACTGGGGACTATCCTATCCCTGCTTATTAATCAGAACATCCTCACCATGAGGACATTTTCTAGGTATTGAACTGTTGCTAAACCCTGTGCTGTGTTTTAGAACAGTGAGCAGCATCACACTGTTTGAAAATCCTATCAAAAAAGTTCTAGAAATCAGTACAATTAAACATAGTTCTATAGCAGGGCCTAACTTCTGTGATTGTGGGCAACTATATTCATATAACTTCATTAGTAGTAATATCTGTGTGTACAGATATAGAAATAAGTACTCCTACATTTGGGTTGCTTAAGGAAGTCTAAGAACTTTTTTTTTTAATAGTTCAAATGGAAGTAAAATGGTACCTCTAATATAAACCAAATAATCTGATACCCAGATGGTAAAATGGCTGGTTGTGTAACTCAGTAGATATGTTGTTTTCTCATGCCTATGTCTGATGCTGTAACTGTTTAGTCTCTTAAGTCCATGTGGAACTTGCTTGTAGCTCTAAGGACAGCTGAAGGCAACATGACAAATAACACAAAGCTGCATAACTACTGTGGTGATTTTATAGCTGGGATACTTCCTCATCCAGTTCTGGGAAAAGTTAAGGAGAAGCCTTTTGGAACAAAGTGAGGTGCTGCTCAGGAGTGACTGCTCGGATCAGTGTTCCAACTGGGAGAAATCTGCTAAGTGCTGAGGCCCCAGATTTAACTACCCACATTTTTTTATTTATTTGGCCCTTCACAAGGGAAAGGGAGGTATTTTTCCATATGGCATGTTTAATCTTATTAGTTCATCATCTAGGCTATTAATAACAACAAAGTGAAAAAATTAGAAGTAAGCTTTTTAGGAAGTAAAGCTCCGACTGTGAAAGTCAATCAAAGATTTTTGACTGTTGCCATCAAATTCTGAGCTAGGTGGAAAAGCCAGTGAATGGAGTCCATTAAAGCTACATTTATTAAATGTCCACTTACATAAAGAGCTAAAAATAACTTCTGAGTTTTTCCAGTTTTCTTTTCAGAACAGTTATTGTGTTTTTCTGCTTCATCTCAGAAAGCCATTTTGCTGCTGCTCAAGTGTATAATCTGTGTGCCCTTTCTTGGTACAGTACAAATGACAGGACACTAATCACATCAGAACAACAATCACGTCATCTTTGAGTAACCAGCAATAAACTGTTTTTACAAGGAAGAAAGATGAACTATTTTTAGGTAACTCTGAACTGAAAACTAGAAAAATGATTATACTCCATCTTACTCTACATCATTGCTGTGAATTTCAAAAGCACTGCTCCTTCCTGGGCAGCAGGCTAATCCATGTAATTCATCTTTGCATAAATAGTCTAGTCAAATAGAGGTTTTAAGGGTTTGTTACAAGCTTTGACTTGAAGTCTGTGAAATCCCTTTCCTCCCTGCCCCGCCTGGTGAGTCTGAACCATAGGCTGATTCCTCAGTAACCTAAATGCCCATTTTTGGTGATTATCCCATCTTTTCAGCATGTCTCACATCTAGTGGTCTGTTATTTTACTATTGCTGGCAAGTATTCAGCAAAACCCTCCTTCAAAACTCCAGGTTTGTGACCACTACAACTTTCTTCAGGCCCTCCAGGGCAGCACAGTCTGGTAATAACTAGAGAAAGTGTATGGGTGTCCCTGGAGGTGGCTGTCCCCACACCTGCATCTGTTCTTCTCCTGAGCTTCTTCCTTCCCAGTTGATGTGGCCTCCCTTCAGAGCCTCACCCCAGCCCATTCTCCTGCCATGTGGAGTGATGAGCAGGGCAAGGAGGGGACTCTCCCCCTTAACTTAGCTCTCGTAAGACCCCACTTGGAGCACTGTGTCCAGTTCTGGAGCCCCCAACATAAGGACATGGAGCTCCTGGAGAAAGTCCAGAGGAGGGTCACAAAGCTGATCTGAGGGCTGGAGCAGCTCTGCTATGAAGACAGGCTGAGAGAATTTGGGCTGTTAAGCCTGGAGAAAAGAAGGCTCCAGGGAGACCTTGGAGCATCTTCCAGTGCCTGAAGGGGCTCCAAGAAAGCTGTGGAGGGGCTTTGGACAAGGGCTTGTAGTGAAAGGACAAGGGGAAATGGATTAAAACTGTAAGAAGGGAGATTTAGGTTAGAAACTAGGACAAAATTCTTTACTGTGAGGGTGGTGAGACACTGGCCGAGGTTGTCAGAGAAGCTGTGGCTGTCCCATCCCTGGAAGTGTTCACAGCCAGGTTGGATGGGTCTTGGAGCAACATGGTGTGGTGGAAGGTGTCTCTGCCCATGCAGGGGGTTGAAACTAGATGATCTTTAAGGTCCCTCCCAACCCAAACCATTCTGTGATTCTGTGAATCTGTGAACTCCTGGAATCAGTGAGTGGTGGCAATGCAGCACGTTCTCCCCACCCTGGCCAACTCTACCTGTGCCTGTGTCCTGCACCACAGCCTTCCTTCCACACTCACCAAAATGTCCATAGGGAAAATGCACTGCTTCTCCTTGTCCTGGGAAGATTAGTGTGCAGCTGTTGGGAAAGATTATCTTCAGCTATCCAGCAGCGTGGGAGGGCTTACATGAGGATGTCCTGGGAATCTATGGATCTGAGACCCACTCCTTACACATTTCCTGCAGTTTTGAATACTTTGGGGGCATCTGAAATAAAATTTATTAATGACCCATTTAAACCTCTTTTGCCTGTGGCCCAGCAAGCTCCTTGTCACTAACAATTTACCTTCTTTCACCTAAGAAATGTAGAAGAAAAAAAAAGGAATATCATACAGTCAAAGCATAGTAATTGGATTTTATTTTAGTCTGTTAACAAAGATATTTAATGCAAAGGAAAACTAGGAACTATATTATTACCACACTCTCTTGATACAGAAGATCTCATAGTCAGGTAAGCAAAATTATTTTTTTATATCCTGAAAAGATATTCTATTTCAGGCAGGAAAAACTAAAAAAATACAACCCAACCTCTCTGGAAATTCAATAAGCCAAGAGACTAAAGAAGAAGAGCAGGAGGTCTGGCCCCACAGGTTTATCTTTCTGCTTCTGATCTCTGATAGTGGCTGAGAGGTGCTCATCTGAATCGATGAAGTGTGAGGGACACTTTCAAGCCCCACCTACATTCCTCCTGCCCTGGGTCTCGTGGTGTAGTTTTAAGGACAGTGACAGTTGCCTGTGGCTCACGGGTCAAAGCCAGAGGACAGGGCAGCCTTGCCTATCTGCCTGTTTTGCACACCCTGCCATACGCAGGAGTCGCTGTGCCATGTTTCCATCCATCAATAACCCTCCAGCCTGGCATGACCCACTCTGGGGAGTGTCATCACTTTGGAACCACACTGCACAGGCCAAACAGCCCCACATGGCCTCAGTGGAGACAGCCTTTAGTCAACCCCATTTACACTGGCCCATGGGCAACTCAGAAAAATCAGAGGGTGGAATGTGCAAGAAAAGCATGTTTGTTAAAAACAACAACAAGATAATGGAGAAAGCTCAGAACCCAAGTAATTGTTCTCAGAACCTACTCCTGACACTGTAGCAATGAACTGTCTCCTGGAAGCACAATCAGTTTAATTCAACCGTGCAAGGAAAGTATGACGGGGAGTGTGCAGGCAGGGACTGTGCAGCTCAGGGTGAAAATGGCTCCATTCTTGCAGTCACACTAGATGAATAAAGACAATAGCAAAGGAGAGGGCCAAGCCAGGAGGGCCACAATTATACAACACCAAGTCCCAGGCCTTGCAAAAAAGTAACCTTAGTGATACAGAATAAGGAGCAGAGCAATTACGCAAGTTTTCTGTGACCCCGGAAAAGGGTTTCTTTTCCTTTGATCTCTCTGCAGATACATGCCATTCCCAGCCCCATAAAACAAAGATTTATGATGAGCTTCTCCCTAGCACAGCTCCCATAACTGATCTGGTCTGACCACACAGTGCTGTCACTTCAGCAATGGAGGAAAGGCTTCATCAAGTGGTTAATTGCTCTCTGTTTATCCACCAAAGCCAAATAACCTACCACCAATTGATGTGGAAATTAAGAAAGCAACAATATTTAGGAAGAGGTTACCTTTGGGAACACACCTGTCTTCCTACTTCGTGTTGGTAGCAAGAAGGAAGAGTTTATAACACAAGCCTGTCTTTGCCTTCTTCCTGAATGACCTGCCCAATGGCTGTTTCTTGTTGTTGTTTCAGGAAACATTCCTTCTTACATTTCATTAACTGCTCAAAGTCCTGCCACATTTTCATTTGCTTCATATTTGGCCCATGACTTTCCCGTACAACTTTCTGCTTCTCTCGTAATTTCTGTTAAAAATAAAAAAATATTACATTTTTGGAACAGTTCTACATGGCAAAAATTGCTCACATAGGAAGCTTGGAATGTCAATGATTTTTATATACTACTGAAATATTTTGTTCAAGTTGATCATACTCATTGCAAGTGATAAATGCTTTAACATCTGGGACTGAGATATCTGCTTTGTATGGATTGACAATTATTTCAATGTTTTAAAACTGTCTCCATAACAGTCTTATCTATTTGAGAAGTTCTACTAAAATTCTGAGTTCATTTCCATACAGAGCTCCTGCAGTATCAAGTTGCAAGCTGTAATGGATTCACATCATAGCATTACAAACACCAAATGAATGTTTTACAATGAAACCCGCTACTGATTATTTATAGTGGCAGCTCAAGAGTGTAAAAATTGCTCACAGACTGACTCATAAAAAGGAAACTAATAAAAGAAAGATGTTTAGTGGGAATTGGTGAGCCTAACCTCATCCATGCTGACCCAAGCTTCACACAAAATTAAAAATGGACAACTGCTTTTGTTTTACACTGCTGCGCCGATGAGCCCCTGGCCTTTAACAACAGTGATAAGGCTGACAGGCTCAAAATTTATTGTCTTCAATAGGTTGCTTTATATACAACATAAAATTTGAGCTGGCACAGTTCGTTATGCCCATGTTTCAGTTTCTGATCCAAATGGTTTTCAGGGAATGTGCTGTCATGTTAAGCTGTCTGACTATCTTTTACAAGCAGCTCATGCTATACCCTGCAGGAAATCAAGCCCCGGAGAGCTAGCGTGATCTGTCTTCAGAGTATTAGTTACTAAAGCCAGCAGTAATGGAATTTTCTTTGTAGGTTGCAATATGCTTTTTATAAAAAAGACTGACCACAGCCTTTGGTAATAAACCCCACAAAACCAGGAAATGCACAATGTTTTTACAAGGTAAACCCCTCGTTCTTACCTTCCCAAGGTTTTCATGTTCAATGATCATTTGTGTATATTGTTCTCTAAAGGAAATAGAAAATAATTTTTATTTTATTTGATACCATGTAATAGGACAGGATAATGATGCAAGCATGGAAAATTCTGGAAGTTTTGGGAGATTCATTATTGAATAGAAGAAGCAGGAAGAAACCTATTTGTCATTGGGCAACATATCCCTTCACATCAAGGTCCAGATCTCTTTGATTATCCTAGATGTGCAGTTGGGAAAAGTGGTATTGGTAAGATCTCTTACATTTTTGAAGCAGGCATGATCATCACTCCTTCCAGCTTGAAAACAGCAGCAAGATCATTTTGGTAAGATAGACTTGAACCCTTTTTAATAACACATTTATTCCAGTGATATTCTGAGGTTAGCCATGGTTGCCTCATTTACACAAGTGTCAAGAGTTTCTAAATCCACAGCCCTTAACTGCTGTCAGTGTAGCCTTAGAAATAGTGGGAAAAGACAGGCATGGAGGCCAATAGTTTTTCACCCCAGGTTTGATAAATCCAATGACTGCAGTGGAACCTCTGTGCATTCCTCACTTGCAGAGAGCAGCCGTCACATTTAGGTGCCTAAATATAGGCTTAGAAGCAGAACTGCTGACATTCAGTATTAAAAATCTTGGCTGTGCACCTTTGTCTGTAACAAGTGGCTAGATCACTTTCTGACATATGAAACCCAACAATATAACATGCAAAGCACAACAGCAGGATACAGACACATGACTGTGTACTCAAAAGTTTTTTGAAATGCAATAAAAAAACTCTTCACGGACTCACCTGAAAAAAACATCACGTATTATATTTTGTGTAAAACAGGTACACACTTAGAGATCAAGAGTTTGTGAGTGGAATGCTAAATAACTCATCAAAAGAAATTTCCAAATAGCTCAGAGTAGAAGACTGCATGGAAAAATCCTAATTTCCAGACAGCAGTATCAGCCTCCATGACAGCAGAGCAGGCAGGTGCTGGAGCGTCGGGAGCAGCCGCGTAGCACCAGGGCATCACCCGTCTGATACTCCTGCCATTTCCCACTGGAGCACTTGGGCCCCCAGCCACCTGGTGCTGCCTGCCAACTGCCCTGAAGGACAGATGGGCAAGAAATGAAGCTGGATCCTTTTCTGATCTCTTACTCCTAGACAATTCTAGCCAGAACACACCAGAGCTGTCCTGAGGCTGCTCCAGGAGCTGCTGCACGGCTGATCAAGCCTCAACCAACCAGAGACAAAGCCACATGGAATGTCCTCCTTTCCCCTGCCCACAGCACGTTCCCACACCTCTGGCCTCAAGAACATACTTTTTTTTAAAGCAGAGTTTTCAAAGCAATCGTCATAAGATTAGGTATCTTTCCTAGTAAGTTTTCCTTTACTATTTATAATGACGACTGGAAAGAATGTAACTTAATAACTTCATTAAAAAGCACACAACTTTCTATTTTTAGAGAAAAAAAATTTAACTTTTCACATTCCTAAGGAGTGACTCCAAGGAACAGAGAGTTTATATTCAATAAAGAGGGTCAGAATTAAGACAATTTTTGTTCAATACGTTGTTAGGAAAGTGCTGTTCTATTTATGTCTCATTTTTACTCCGTTTACATTCCACTGCCTGCTGAAAAATACATTCACACTCTAAAGCCATGTCTAGGGAAAAAAAATCATGGTCTCATTTTCTATTTTGCAGAGATCTCTATATTCAACTTGGTGGCAATTCACTGAAATGCAACAGGTCTGTGATCTCTTACAGAAGGTCAGTGTGTGTATAGTCACAGTGGGAGGGTCCTTTCCCCACCTTCTGTGCCCACAGTTAGCAAGTGAAACAAGGACAGCAGGGGAGTGGGAATGCTCGGGGCACATTCCCCTCCCATACCTGGGATGACAGAGCTGGACTCACACTTCATTCCAGCATTTGGCTTTGCTGGCTTGGCTGTGTGGATGCTCACATGGTGGCTGCTCATTTCACAAGTGTTTCAGTTGGAGCATTTTTTGCTGAGCATCTGTGGATAAACCCAGGCCCTCCCCTCCCCTGCCAGGCCATAAAAGGCCTGTGCCTGCTGCCTGACCTGCTTCCCCCAGCTGCTGGGCTGGGTCTTCTTGCCTTTCACACTGATCAATATTCACACCAACACTAAGATTTTTCCCACAGCCACTTCTATTTTCACCCTTCTGCTTCGTTTTGCTGTTTTATCATCTTATATTACATCACACCTTTTATTTTCTACAGCCTTCCACTATTTTGTGAGATGGAATAAGAGGCTTCTTAGCCTCCACTCACATTGTCTCCACATCCTTTTCTTCTCCCACCCTAACGTTAGTAGTTTTGATTCTTTCTTACTTGTATTTTTCCTACATTGTTTCCTAGTTTCTAGACATTTTCATGCCTCAGATCCTTGCAGAAGGTCTCTGTGATGGAGCTTAACTAGCCCTTTATTTCCTACTGACCATCATGTTCAGGAACTGTAGGAGATGCAGCTCCACTGGTACCAGTGCAAGGAGCATCGGGACAACCTCCATGAAGGATCTAATGGAGGAAGATCACCTCATCTCTCAGTGCCTCCTGAGAGAGTATCACGTGAAGTCCTCCAGGTCGAATGCCAGTGAGAAAACTCCTAACTTCAACCTCAGTTTATGAATATCCTTTGAGTTACCACAAAGGAAACCACTGATCCACTTACCGAATTGTCTTTCCTTTCCCCCGTGGGTCTGGGGTGACATAGGCCTTCATCTCCTCCTTAGCACGCTCCAGCTGCACTGCCAGGTTCTAGAAACAAACTCAGTGTTAAAAAAGTAAAGGTTACAGTTGCTGCTTCATGTCACAAGGAAGAATTTGGTCCCTCTTGGGATCTTACCCTCTTCATGCAGTTGATGTAATGGTAGTTGCTTTCTTCCTGAACACACTCCTCAAGAAGGCTTTTCACTTCCTGTGGGAGGGAATAAGATTTCAAAGGACACTGTCCCTGGAAGCACAGAGGGGGTGCCCTGTGGTCCAAATAAACCATCAGAGTCCTTAACAGAAACAGGCACAATACTGAATTGTTCATTTCATACATTTTTATATAATTTGGGCTTTATAGAAGTCTCCTTTAAAGTGGGAGACAACTGACTTCTTTAGATGTGCAGCTTCAGTCTCAGTTAGAGATGCTAAATGGTTGCTAATAGGTGTTTATTAATATCATTGGCTTCTAACAGACACTTCACGAGTGCTGCCAAGACTCTTGTTCTAAGCACAACTTAAGTGCTAAATACAGTTGTGAGAAAGTATTTCCTGGAATGCAGCTGCCAAATGTATATTAGAAGGTATGGATGTGTTAACAGTATGTTAATTAGCAGTCAATTACGTCAAGGATTACGGAGACAGTGAGTTAGTCCCACCTCTAACTGGTCCATACCAAAAAAACCCCAATAATCCAAATGGAATTCATACACTCCAGGTCACAAAGCAGGTGGCAACTCCAAAGCTCTGTCACCATGTGATTTTGAGACTATCAGCTGGAAAACGGAATTCTACAGTTCAAGTGCCAGAGTTTGCTGACAGTGGTGTCCAGCTTCATCAGTGGCTGTGGCTGTCCTCATCTGTTAGAAAGTGGCTAGGATTTGTCTGCCAAGAAAAAAAAGCCTTGATCGCTGTAAAATATTTCTTATGGAAGGTCTTCTTCATAGTAGGTTCATCTGTGGATTCTTTTGTTTGGATTAAGCCACAGAAATGTACTTTTAGTGCAGGAAAAAAATTCTCTCTATATTCACCCACACTTCAAATGTGCACCTTTTTTTTAAATTTTGAAATATATTCCTTATGTGGTCAAGGCCTAGAAAAATCAAGTCCATGCCAAGATAAAACAGTTTCATATAAATATTTTAATACTGGCATGTCTGTCCCCACTTTACAGGGCTGCAGTGGTTTAGGTACCTCCCTGTCTAAAAGTGCTATAGTTCAAGCAATCCAAAGACTAGTCACACAAGCTGCCAGGTACACCTACATGCTTGGATTTTTAAACCTGTTGTATGCAAGAATGCAAGACATTTAGTGAAGTATCTTTGCCACCATTTTCAGAACATTAATTAGCCACTGGATTGGCTGCTAATGTAATGAATCTGCTAAATGCACATAAAGATTTGTCTTGACAAATTAATCCTTACGGTCAAATTGTGGTCAAATTATTTCCTAACAGATGCTATATAGCAGGATTAGTCATCAGGCTCTCAGGCAGATGCATCTTCTTCTACACTACTCTTGCTAATCACAGCTGGACATGGGAGGGTGGACTGATGTACCACTGAGTTCACTTGTTGCTATTCAGAACAGGAGCTGTGTGATTGTAACGAGTCCTCAGCAGCTTCAGGCATGATATGCAAAGTTGTGGATCACCACTGACTCATTTCCACCTAAAGTGGATTTGTACTTTCCATATCCAGAGGGAAGGCAGGGAAAATATTGTACCAGAGTGAGTAACATGTTGCACAGCATTCATTCCTCCGCCTGACCCAGCCACCCCCTTACCTGCTCCAGCGCAGAGCGGTTGCTCTCCAGCCCCGCCGCACAACTGTCGTACTGGATCTTTCTTTCATCACATTCTTGAGTTAACTCCTTATGTGAAAGGGGTACAAGGGAACATCAATGGAATCTTCAATCAACTGACATGTGGCATTCAGGCAGGCTGTGTTCCTGTCGGTGTCACACACCAGCCTCAGCTCCTGGCCCACTCACAGACACTCACATGAATGCCCCAGGCACACGGGGAAGCCACTGTAGCCCTCCAGATGCTGGAGGATCAGCTGTGCCCACCCCAACATTAGATGCAGATCACCTCTTTACAGCACACCCACAGCTTTAGTGTGGCAGGGTTTGCAAGAAGAAAGGAAAAGTAATTATAAAAATAAGGATTAAGAAAGGATGAATATACTTGCTAGGGTGAAAAGCCAGCTCTCTGGTTGCACCCAACAAACACCTTAGCTGGGTTTTGTGTGCTGACACTTCATAGAACCGAAGGGAAGTTGTCTGGGAATTGGGTTGATAAATGGACAGCTCTATTTACTTCCATGGCAAGGAGCCAACTCACAGTGGCTGTGGACCTGAATGACTTTTTTTTCAGCTCTATAAAATTTTGAAAACAAATGGACAGATCTGTCATTCCTGCAGACATATGCAGAACTTTGACCAATGCACTCAACTATTTGGACGAGATATTATTTGCAACCCCTTTAAAAAGGAGAGTGTTACTTGAGATCATCAGTGCTGAGATGCAGGAAAAGCTTTGAAACCCATTTCAATACTAACTTTATTATGGTTTTGAACCAGGAGTTTTTTCTGTTTCCCTTGATGTAGTAATTCTTTTAATTGCTATAAGGGATGAATTTTTCAGCCTGGTTTTGTGCCTGCACTATCAGCTTGTATGAATTCCAGTCTTTTCAATGTTGCAAATCACTGCTGACCCAGTCTGCTATCTCCATCTTTCCTTCAGAGTTAATGGTATCCCTGTACAGCACTACAGAGAGCTGTACATGGAAGTGTTTGGACTCTGACTTGATTTGCAGAGGAGACAAGTGTTTCTGCTCACCTGGCTCTTCTGACGCAACTGCCTGAGCTCTTTGATGACAGGAGCTAAGCTTGCCTTCTTCTCTGCCACCACTGCATTCAGTTTTTTTACCTGATAGAGGGACAAAGGGATAAACATCAATTCTATATTATTAGGAATGTGAAAAGAAAGACAAAAAAAAAGGTGCCATGAAGCCTGACTATATAGAATGTAACATACATCCAGGCCTAAGTAAGAGGGAAAGAAGCCCTTGGTGCAGGGGTTCACTACCAAAAATAAGACAAATTCTGCTCCCATCACTTCAACTGAGAACATGAGAGAATTCCAGAAGGCAGCCCACGTGCCAGACACCTGAAGAGCTTAAGGAGCAGGGGAAAATGAAGGATACAGTTGGACTAGGAGAAAAGAAGAAATCCTTAAGAAAACAAACAAACAAACCCCACTGCACAGGTTAGGCAGTTGGAAACTACTAAAACAAAGTAACTTTAAAATATTTATACTAAAAAAAATCAAATTCCACCCAGCTTTCTACTTGAGAGACATTCTGCTTTAATTCTACCACTTCATTTTAGAAGTGCCCTAGTGATTCCAAAGAATGCTATTTTGCTTTTTGCTCTTTCATAGCATTTTCAAATTAGAAATGTAAGTTCTGTCTTGCTTCGATTCTTACGTGGGAAGTTAAATTCAAACACTGCAGACCTAAGGGCAATTGAAAATTAGGCTACAGAGAAAAATATAAGATACTTGGCTCTTTAGGCATATTAAGTAATTTTTTTAACTCAAGTGATTTTAAAACATTTTAGAAAAAGATTCTGTCAAAGTTTCAAATAATTGAAGACAAAAATCACCATGTCAGACATGTTCTCTAGTGTCCGGCCTTTCATCTCATCCGTTTCACTCTTCACTGCAGAAACCCTTTCCAGCTCCTCCTGGGTGTAACTATATCCAGAAATTCCCTTCTTGTCTTCAATAGCTTGCTGCAAAAAATAAATGCCAAATCTGAGTCCATTAATCAAGTAACAGCAAATTCCTTCACTGAGCCAAAATATTGTAAGCAAGTGGGAAAGTTAAGTACTGTCATCAATTTATTTTAAAGGTGATTGATCAATTTAGCTGCCAGATCAATTAACATTTTTATCTAGTGCCTGTAGGATAATAACAACTTCCTGTAAATACACTATTTGGTCATGCACTGCACAATGACATTAACAGGAAGTTTCTACAAAGTGAAATGAGCTTTAGGTCAGGCTCTGAAGAAGCTCTGTGTGTAAAATGCAGATGCTAAATCTGAAGATGTAGCTAATTATCTGTAAACAAACATCATCCAAAACCAAAGAAGTGTTTTGTTCAGAGTAACATGAATTCCATTGTGCCAAATTCTAGCATTACATTTCCTAAACTCTACATTTAATTCTATGTTGCTGCAATGGTTTTTAGCAATGCTTGCCAGGTAAGGAGGGTGTTTTCTGAACTCTGAAAGCTGCAAGTTGATTTATGCATCCCCAATTTTATAAAAATCAAAACATTCTTTCTTAAAAGTGCCACATATCTCTGAGCTCCGGGTCCATTACCCTGACTGAACAATGAATGTCCTGTTGAAATACTGTATCACCCACTGTATTTATGTATCTGTCCAAAGTCTATCCCGTATTTTCACACTTCCCATTTCCTTTAAGGCAAATATTTAATGTTTAAAAATGCAACATACGTACATCTCATGGAACAGATATAAATAAAACTAAAATATTCTGATAACAAAAAGACTGTTATTAGAAGAAAATACCACAGCAGGAGATTTTTGTGAACTAAAAAAGGAATCTCTCTGCATTTGGGATGCACATATAGTCCCTGAATGCTCACAGTTCTGCAGAGCAGAAACCCTGCTCCTGCTGCTCTGGCTTAGAAAAAGTATTCATCCAGTTTTACATTCTTCCCTGCCTGTGAAATGCATTTCTTTTAAATATTCTGGGGTTAGAATGTTTCCTTCCTGCCTGCTCTTCTTTTAAAGACTAATCCTATCTATTTTGCAGCAGTAACTTGAACCCTACTTGCTGTTGATCATTTTCAAAGACTTTACTATGTATGTGGATACCAAAAACTAATTTAAGAATCCCTCCCTGCAGAAGCTAGTGAAGATCTACCATTGACTTTAAAAAGCAGGGTCAAGCCCCTCAGTCTAAAAAGAAACTGCAGAGGAGGCATGACTGCCTTTAAGAAACAGTTGCTGAACATAAAGTACAGCAGATGAGCACAGTTAACAGACAAAAATAAATTTTATACCCTAATGGCTCTTCTACTAATGAGAGCAGGAAGGTGAGGATGATTTACTTTAGAAGTGAAGGAGAAAAATCTAATTCTATAGGTGTTAGCAGGGAAGGAAGGGTGATAGACTGTGGGAGCAGTAAAGGCTGGTCTTACCAACTGCTGCTGGAGAGCCTCGTGGCGCTGTTGGAGCAGTTCTTCTGTCCTCTGGAGGACACCACACTCGGCTGTAATTTCTGCTATTTCCTGTCGCTTCTTCTTATAAAAGGTGTTCTTGCTCCGGAGCTTGTTCACATAGTGTTTTAACTGGCATGAGAGAGACCAGAACTACCATTTAACTTAAGCGAAAAAAAAAGGGCCTTATCACAGACTGTTGCTATATAAAATGTATCTACCCTACTGAAGGATATTGAGGAGTAAGTGTTTGAAACAGGACAGGAATTGAGGATTCCCAGGGTCTACTTACTTTCAGCTCTACATTTGTTCACTGAGATCAAGAAAACCAGATCTCTTGCTTTCTGTCCCAGCTCCCTCGTTTGTAACAGTGAGATCATTTTGGTTCTGCTCACTGCCATTTGACAGTTGGAAAAGTAATTACCCCTTGAAAAATGTTGTGAGAATCACAGATAATAAAAGAGTCAATGGAATAGTCATTTGCACTTAGAGTACCAGCAGTCTGTAGCCCCAAAAGCTCTGCAGACCAAGAAGCATAAAGTGCAGAAGAATTGGAAGAGGGCATGGGAAAAGACTGCCTTTTTTATTTTTTAAATGCTTCATAATTTGTTGTTCTCTTTCCTTGACTCTTGCAGACCTAAGTGATATCGCTGGCAAAGTTTTTAAAAGCAGGAAAAGCAAAGCAGAGTCCTTGCATAGAGGCTGATAAATGAAATACCTGTTTCACTCAAAGTCTAAAGTAATTGAGAATTTATACTTTTATACTAAAGGCTAAGTAAACTAATAAATATCCTTGCAGATCAATCAGATTAGGTATTTTTCTTTGCCTTAGTGTTTTGCATCTGTCAAACATGGTCTAGCTCTTACCATTATATTTTAGGGGAGAGCAATGAGGCAAATGCCAGTCACAGCTCAAAAAGGCATTCAGATCCAGAGCTAAGAAGCAAATATAATTTATTCGAGTAAATGATGTAACAACAGGCTTTAGAATGTTCCTTGATGAGGAGGGGTTCAGCATGTGCAGAGAAAGTATAAAACAGGCCCCCCAAGGAGAAAACTGGAGTCACTCTGTAACAGACACAAGCTGAAAACTCAAGAGAAGAATTTACATGTTGAACTTTACATTCATTTTTCTTACTGCAAAATTATGCCTCTCCCTTCTAAAAAGCAAATCCAAAACCCCAATGTGACCACAGCCTAAGAACCCCCAGAGTAGCTGTATGTTCTATAAAAAGTGTCCTGGGCAAAATGCCCAAAATGAAATCAACCCTGTTCATCTGCCATCCTGTGCAATATCTAGGCCAAAGCTGCTTCTCTCTTGCTATGCTCCAGAACTATTTTTAAAGCCAAAAGCTATAAACGTTTTTGGTGAAAGAACAAACCCACAAATTACTCAATGTGCTCTATGCAGATTGGACTCTGTGTGGCTTTGGAAGCCCATTTCACATTGTGTGTAGTACCTAGGACAAGGAGAGACAAGGTCACCTAAGCCACAGCACTGCACAGCCCAGACATTGGTGATACCTCAGACTCTCTCTGTTGGATTACTGGCATGATTCATACAGGACCACCAGAACTAGGTCTTTTTCATAGCAAATTCAGGTGCCTGTAGTTCATACAAAATGCTTTTTTAAAAATGCTTAGACAATACTGAGTTTTCTGTGATTTTCCAGAGGCTATAGAAGTACAACCTCTCCAACTAACTGAGGAAATTTTAAGTGAAGCACAATCAGACATCTTAGTTGAGTAGTTCCTGAGAGTTCTCATTTGCTCAGTAAAATATAGTAAAGAATGGTGTAAAGGATTAAACTTAATATGTGACCACATCCAGCTATCAAATCTGAACGATTTTCTGTCAGTTTATCCCAGGATGAAAAGCAACCTATTATGCTCTTCACTTCTAGAGCTGCTTTTAAGTTCTTGAAAATAGCTCAAGTGGGAGTTAAAGTATTTGCATATTCAATATTCAAAGCATAAAGTATTTTACAATGGAAGTCAAAGGATCTCGCTGATTAAAGAACTGATTCCACCAGTGCTCTATGATTAGTTAAGTTAGGGCTATATAATGAAAATTTAATCCAAAACAAACTACAAGTTGATCATGTTGACAAGTGAAATGTATTCATTTTAGGAGATGGATGTCTGTTATTGCAATGTCTGCCTTTTTAAAACCTTTCACACAGCTTTTATTGCAGTGAACAAGGTAAAACAAGATATAAAAAATGGTAGCAAAGTGATAATATCCATAGAAAATCTATCAATAGTTTGGCAGAGTTTTTTTTAAGACTTCATCTACTACAAACACAGCAGAGATGAGCCCCTCAAAGTCTCACTAACTGGAGCCTTCTTTAGAGCCAGGGCCAAATTCAGAGCTGGAGTCACTAGATTCAACTCCACTTAAACCAGCAGCTTGTAGGGATCATATAGCAAAAATTAGGTTTCTTCAGCCCAAAAGTTGAAAATCACTCTGTAGGTTTCCAAAAATTATAAATAAGCTTCTTGTAAAATGCCAGTGTTTTCCTTTGGGTAAGCATTGCTTCTGCAGCTTTACATATCTCATGCTCCCATCTATATATAGATGAAAAAAATCAAGTCCTTAAAATGCTACAAAATATTGTCTTTCCTGCAGTTAAAGGTCTTTAAATCACTTCAACAGTTCACAAAACACTAGCATTTTAAAGTCAGATGGCTAGACAGTTAACCAACCAAAAGGAATCCAGTTTCAGCAGCAACATTTTCCCATAGACCAAGTCAGCTGCTCCCTGCCTAAAAACTCAGCAAGCTCAAGCTACAGCATTCCCATGGCTCCTTCAGTGCCCACAGGGATGCATCATTCAAGGCTGTCCACCACTAAGCTTCTCTTTCTCAAGCAACTTAAAAACAAAGCTTCCAAGATTAAATGACTGGACAAGAATCAAATGCTGGCACCAAGTGAGCAGTTCAAGTAAACAAGCCTGGAGACCCATGTTTGTGAGCTGAGCCAGAGCCCCCTGAGAGAGAAAAATTATCCAAATGAATGTAAAGAAAGATCCTGCTTTTTCACTTGGCTGTTTTTATGGGTGACTGTAATATAACAAGCATGGAATCTAGATTGTGAAATAGAGTGAATGAAAACAGGACTTTGATCTCCCCTACTGTGTCCTGCAGCATGCAGGGATCTGAGCAGATCTCCTGTATTCTGTGCCATTCTTACTGAAAGAACCCAGCAATGCCAGAATTTGATGCTTCTCCAGCTTCTCCAGTAATCTGAAAGAGATTACAGTCACCAGATGAAGTTTTACCACACTTCTGTGAAGTAATTAAATGTTACAACAATTCCAAACAGGACAAAATCTAATCCTGGCTATTAAAATGGCTCCTCCAGGAGTAGAGGGAGCCTGGCAGGTTATCCCACTCCAGGAAAGAACATAAGCATGTTGCCCACATGCTTCAGTGCCTTGAACTGGGATCAAAGCCCAGCTCCTCTAATGCTTAGTCCTGCACTTTCACTATAAGCCCATCATTTCAGCTCCTTAAAACTAACATTTGCCCCATGTGAAGTTCTCACAAGGTTCTTATTCTAGGATTATCATTAAAGGAGAAAATGGATCAGCTTGTTTTCAGAAATGAACAAATCCCAGACTAATCCCTCACTTTTGAGTCAAATCTTTAAAAACAGTATTTTCTGGATTACTGTATCAATTTGACTGTGTTTTAGTAATCAAAATATTCATCATACAAAAGTACTACAGAAAATAAAGTATTGATTGTTAAAAAAATTACTTCTGAAACGCATAATCTAGACAAGGTTCTAACTAAAGTTTTGTTAATAAAATGACTTGCATAAGCACAATAATTGAAGAATATCTTCACTTTCTCTGTTCTTGTGAAGAACTGAGGAGCAGATGATTTAATTTTCTAATTATATCAATTAACAAGATACAAACTGTCCAAAGTATTAAAATTCAGTTAGGAAAATTTCCTTATCATGACAGATTTTCAGTATTTTTTTCCTAAGAGACTCTAAATTTAAGCTAGCACAGCCACTGTTGGGTAGAGTTAATAACACATACATAGAAGGACAATCTTCTAAAAGATATAGGCAGTATTACCTCAATCTGTTAAAATTAAAGGAGCTCCTTGGACAAAGCAGTCAGGAAAATTCTTCATTAGCATTAAGTAGGATATCTCCTTAAGGAGTGCTTGCTTCTGGTCAGGAGAGGAGTATTAAAGTCACCACTATTACCAGTTTGGAACAATCAGAATATTTATAATGGAAAGCCATTTTCAGTGATCACTGAAAATGCCCAGATCAATAAATAGATGATTTATTCCTGCCAGTGGGTGCCAAAAGAGCAGGGGTCAGTTCTGAGTGACTGCACATACTTGGCTTACATGATGGTTAACTTTTTCCAGCAAAAAGCTTCTGGCTTCTGCAGGAATCTTACAGATCTGCTCCTTCTGTTCTCACAGCTTGACTACCAGCTACTCTCCTATTTTCATGTGGAAGGAGTCTTTGACAGACAGGAATAAAACAGTATCTAGAACCTTAGTGAAAAAGTTGTGAGAAAGACAGCAAACTGGTAAGATAATTGATACTATTCTATATCCTAAGTCCTGGCTTAAATCATTTAATGTTGGGAGTCATGAGCTCCTGGGTGGCTCCTCTCTTGAAAATCCATCCACCTAGTTTGGACCTGGAGAACTGTCTCTGGTGGATTCAGATTTAGAGGAAAAGTGACAAGATCCATGGTCCAAAACTGATTTATCTGCAAATGGAAACATTTTTAACATTGTTTAACCAGGGGGCAGGTGGGCACGGGTGAGCACTTGCATGAAATAAATTAAGCTCCTGATGTAAATTAATACCTTGCATATCTATTACCAAACTGCTAGGGCTTCCCAGGCCACACTCTCAAAGACATGTTCCTTTCCAGTACAGCAGTCAGGCACAGCCAGGATACTGTTCTGATGCCTGGGGAAAGTCTAGGCTCTCAGGGCCCTAGGCTGAACTCTGAAAAGTACAAAGCATTGTGTAAAGTGCTCAAAATATCACAGCTTTACCTGGGATCACTTGTAATTGAACCATCTAGCCTTCTAAGTGTCAACATTTGATTCCCTAATTTTCAGGATCTGACAGCTGCAACCAGGAGCCTGCCAACTTCACTCCATGCTCATTGTACTTTGTTTGAAGTACTTAAAAAGATTTCATAATCCCCAAAGCAGACAATGTATTCCTACTTTTTTGTGTTTGATGTAAATGAATTGCTTATTCCCTGCTGTTTCCTCTAAGTTCTATCTCTACAACCTCTGGAACGCTGTAACATTCCTTGTTATGATTAGAAAGCAAAATGGTAGCACCTAAAAACATAAGCCAGGATTGACCTTTTGGTGAATGAAGTGCTAAGAAGACCTCAACTAGAGATCCAGATCCTGGTATGGGAGCACAAGCTAGGAAGGTGCTCAGTCTTCTACTGCCAAGTCTTGTGAGGGCCATGAATTAAGAGGATACAGCAAAGTGAGACAAAGAGAAGAAATACTGGGTATTGGAGAAAAATAATACTTTGATTTAACTGTAGGATATAGACAAGTTAAACATGGCAGGCTTAAAAGCCTATTTTAAACTTAAGACAGCAAAGCTGTGTTAAAAACCCTCTTCCTTCCTTTCTAGAAACAGACAAACTAAATGTAAAACGTGACTGCAGCAAGAAGGGCTAAGGGAGCTCTGGGCTGTCAGAGTGCACAGTGAAGGTTGAGGTCCCCACTGAATAATGTATTGCAACAGTGACTCACCACTACATTAATCAAGATTTCCTTTGGTATTGGCTCCAAGCTGGGCTAACAGAGCACTGAACCAGAAAACACAAATTTAAAAGCAGAACAGAAACAAATCTATAGCAGAAGGTTGTCCACGGAGTGATAAACTGAGACTTATACTGATGAGAGAGAACCTGTTCACTTCACTTTTGCTTCATCACCTCTTCCCTGCCAACTCATTAGTCTCATCTATCATTCCAGTCTTTTCACAGCCCAGCCTCTGAACTTGGACTGTTTCTATAATAGGAGCTTGCAATGTACTTTCAAGGCCAGGTTGGATGGGGCTTAGAGCAACCTGGTCTGGTGGGAGGTGTCCCTGCTGACATAGGGTGTTGGAACTGGATGATCTTTAAAGTCCCTTCCAACCAAAACCATTCCATGATGATTCTAGGATGACAGTACCAAGGTACTCCATTCTCCAGATGAGGAAACTGCCACCTTTGGAAAAGAAGCTATCAAAATCATCACCAATTCAAATCCTTTCCTAGTTTTTAGCCATAGGAAGCACCCTTTTGTTGCTTCACACTGGTGCCTGTGATTCCCACTCCCACATACCTAATGAAGTAACGGACGTGAACAGGACATGGTTTGTGTAATCCTGGTTTCCTTGGGCCAGTGTGCAGAAAGTTCTGTACAAAGGAGGAAATGCTGCTTATGAAAGACAAACACTGCTTATTTTATCCTGATGGTTTTGACCAAAGTGCTCAGTCATTTGTTTTTCACCCCTCAAAATGAAGACTTGAAAAGATTTTAAAAGTCAAAGGCAGAACATATTTGAACAAAACAAATGCAGGTTATGTCCAAAACAGATCTTGGCTTCTTTCTGTCTTGAACCTCTTCCTTGTGTAAGACAATTAACTTGAATTTTTCACCATCAGACCTCTTGTAAGGTTCTGTAACCATGTTTCCCTCCTGCCTGGCTTTCCTTGACTTACTATGGATCAGAGTATGATGTTGTCCCCATCATCCATAGGAATGACATGAATTATTTTTTACCTTACAGCACATTTAAAGATAATGTAAAACATATGTTGCTGTCTTGGTAATGCATTCTTGTCAATTAATTAAACACTTCTATCCCATCACATGTCATGAAACACAGATTGTCAGCTTTCTGGTTTTATTTTTACTTAAAAAGTTGTCAAAGAATCTAGCAATGTACCCACTGGGGTTGAAATCTGGTAGTGGAGGAATCTAATGCAGGGGTCTTACTGCTACCTATGGAACACCTATGGAATGCCATGGTAAGAGAAATCAATTTATTTCTTCAGAGTCTCTGTGCCCTGGCTTCCACCTGTGGTTTTCATCTTGATTTACAGAAGGGGGAGAAGGCAAGAAGGCACAGATGAAATATGCAGGGATCCCATATCCCACAGGAAGCCTTTATACACAAGTGTACACAGGCACATTTCCATACCTAATTCACCCTTTAAGAGTCCTTTAACAAAAAACAATTTCTATGGAGCAGGCATGTCCCATAGGATCAGGAAAGGAGCTCCTTCTACAAAGGGTGTTCCCTGTATGGAACACTATGTAAAAAAAGCACAGAAACAGGCAATGAAAGCAAAGAGTGTCAATTTTGATAAATGTTGGCAGTGCAAATGATGGCAATTCATGAGGTAATGAGAAGATATATTAAGTTAGAGGATGATGCAGCTAAAATACTCTTCGCTTTAGTGAGGCTGCCTGTAAGTACACTCAGCAGGCTTCTTCCAAATGGAGAAAAACTGTTGTCTTAAGAAAGGTCAATTAATTTTGCTGACAAACCACTACCCAGCTGCAGCAGCCTTATTCTTTGCAAACTTTGAAAGAAGCTGCTTTGATAAGTACAGCTTCAAATATAACTTTCCCCAAGCTATGCTGGTTGGGCTGGTCTAGGTCTGAAATACAGATCAGTTCAGAAGGGTCTGGAAAATTAGGAGGTTTTAAATAAAAAGTGTTATGGGTAGGAAATGCAAGAGGACTAACTGCATTTCTGATAAATGCTGCTATTATGCTTTATAGAGAACAGATAGTAACAAAGACTTTGAAATCAAAGAATCAGATTAATCAACATGATTTATCACTTAACTCCTAATCCCTCCATTAGTCTTGCTGACTTTTATAATTATTTGCCATCATACCATTGTGATGACAATGAGATGATTTTGACTTGGAGTCTAGAATGTAAAGACATCCTAACATTTGTCCTCATACACCTATTAGGTACAATGTGAGTTATTTAAAATAATTATATGAAAATAGCTACAAGTAAAACACTGAGGAATACTGGAAAGCATTTGAAAGCACTAGACAGCACTGTACTATCTGCAGATTAAAAAAAGTCTTCAAATATGTTCATTTTGAAATTCAGTGCCAAAAATTGTGCATTACAAAAAATACAGAGGCCAATCTGCTGCAACGTTGAGGTCGTGTAGTTTGACAACACACTACAAAAATGCAAAAGATTCTGTAGAAGCAGCTACTGTAACAGGAAGTTAAAAGGAAATGGTGAGTTAACAGAAATGGATTTGTCTCTTACAAATTTCCTCTTCCTTATATCCACTATTCTATTGCCTACCTCATCCCCTTTCAGAACTTCAGAGCCTCCTAGCTCACGGGCCTGGTTGGTCTTCTCCAGCATCTCCCTTTCAGTGCTGGACATCTCCTCCTTAGCAGCCTGCAGTTCTTCAGCCTTGGCTTCCTTTTTCCGGGAAACGATTGACGCCTGCACGATCATTGAACATGCACAGGGACAAGTCAAGTAAAAATTGCCCTGTTTAATCATTAGTAAAATGCAATCCATTCCAGTTCAGGCACTGCACCACGGAAACCACACTTTAACTGGCAGAAACTGATTTACATTAGGAAACATGAGCACATCTCAGTGTGAGGAGAAAGGGATTGATTACTCATTATTCACAGTGGGTTAAACCACAACCTCCCTGCAGCTGGTTGCAGACTCCCAACTTGCTTCAGTGCAGCCAAGATTCCAAACATAGCCCTTTTACCCCAGATTTCTATTGATACATTTTAGATTTACATTTCTTCACCTCAGGTTTTCATTTTCATGGAAGAAAAAGGCATTTGAGCTGCTCCATTTCTTCCACTTAGTCCCTTTTTATGCATATGTAAGAGACACCAACAGGGCTTCACTGGAAAGTTATCCAAGATTTCACAAATGTCATAATACAGATTTTTATAACTCCAACCTACTCCAACCTACAGAAATATGTTATACTAACAGCAGAACCAAGCCACTAAATCTTGGCAGATAGCTAGATGATGAATAAAGCAATACAGTACAGAAATAGTGTAATTGCAGATTATTATCTTCTTTTTTTTAAGTCTAGAAGATAAAGCATTTAAAAAAGAATATTTATACAAGGTAGACTATTTAATAGTTTATAACATTTGACCAGAAGCTAACAGATTTGGGAACAGAAGTAGCTATGAGTTCAGGAAAAAAATTTAAGCATTTCCATCTTGCTAAGATCTACTTCTTAAAAATATTTTTAAATAACACTACACATTAATTTAGATGCATGCACATGAATTGAGACATGGTTGGTTTCTTCATGTGAAAGGGAAAACTCAGGAAAAAATGAAGCAGCATCCACAGCAGCTCTCTCACACTAGGTTAAAATGACCAGATTTCTAAAACATAACTAACAGAATTCTGCTGGGGTAGAATTCCAGCTCTTTGCTTCAGGAGGTATCTGCAGTGACACATTGTGGTACAATATATAGGATTAATTCCTGAAACTGAAGCCACTCTCTAGCAGAACAAAACCACCAGATTAGATGGTTAATTAGGTTAATGGTTAGACTTCGATGATCTTAAAGGTCTTTCCCAACCAGAAAGATTCTGTGACATGCCTTCAACTCCCAGCAGCAATCTCAGCTCCTGGAGTGGTTCCTCCACTGAACACAATTATATCACAAACCAGTTGCACTTTGGTATGAGCACATTATGCAGCAAACTCTTCTTTGGGGAAGAAGAGCATCACTTCAAACCAAAATGGTGCATTTGATATTACCTATGTAATTGAATGGTATTATGCATTTTAGCACAATTTTTTTCCTCCCACTGACACATTTTACTGAAGCCTTTTTATTTTTTAAACCTTCACCATAAGCATCATCATGAAAATCTTCAATAAAGTCAGCAGTGCTACAGGTTACCTGGAGAAGAAATCACTCACATTTCTCTGTGAGCCCTGAAAATCTCAAGAGTTCATAAATCTTTTTTATAACTTGTGAATGCACTAAGACTAGACCAGATAGGCTATTTTATAGAAAGGCTATTTTATAGCATCAGAATGAAAAAAATCAAAGAATACCTTCTTAATAGATGTAACAGGAAAAAAGAGCTTGTGGTCAAAGACAAGCAAGAGATGCAAATGAAAGCAAACCTTGCATCCAGGTCTGCCTGCAGCAGTCAGCCCACAGGCTGCCCTTTGAGGATCTGTCCACAGCTGGAGATTTAACCAAAATAGCTCCTCAAAATGATCCTCCCAGAATTGCTGTGATGCAGCTGATGGGCAGCCCCTAACAGCCAAAGGACAGCAGTGGATACAGACTCACTGACAGGACTGATGGCAGTTGTCTGACTCAGCCCTCAACAGACAAATGTTCAACAGCTCTTTATTTTATGTCCTCTGTCACTGTGTATTCCAAAAAAAAGCTGATTTATGCTAAATCAATTAAAGAACAAAAAAAATCAGTATGAAAAAACCATCAGTAATTGAAATTGCTCTGCTGCTTCAGGTTAAAAAAACATGTTCCTTCTTACCTGTTGGCGATACATGAAGAATTTATTATCAGTTAGCTCATACTTCATCATTCTTTTTTCAATAAGCTGATTAATTTCTGCATTTACTTCATTTATCTGCAAGACAGTAGAAAAACTAAAGAAATCGAGATTTATTTCCTTGCCTTCTCCAAGAACTAAATGCTTTGCAAACCAGATCTACAACCCAGCTAGTTCCATTCTGCAAACAGAGAAACAAACCCAAACCACTTAGTGAGTCATGAAGCAGTGGCCAGGAAGAGACTGTGGTTTTGGATTTCCAGTTCTGTGCCTTTTTGATAAAGCAGCAGCATGATGTTGGCCCTGAAAATGAAGTGAATTGGTGTATGAGGAGAGAAAATGCCTGTTTGCCCACAATCTCAAACTGATCTCCATTCTGGCTGAAGCTTTGGAGCCTGCTGCACCTGGAGACCCAGAAGCACCCACCCCAGTGCAGTGCCTGCAGCTCTTCCAGCCCTGACTTAACACTACACTGGGGCTCTCATCATCCATGGAAACCACAGCAAACTTCCTTTCATTCTCTGCTAACAAGATGAGTGCTGATAAACAAGCAGCGTAAATATGTCTTGAAATTCAATCAAGTCAAAATATAATGCAGAGACAGTAACACAGGCATTACTTTAACAATTGTGTCCAACTCTGGAGCCCTCAACACAGGAAAGACATGGAACTCTTGGAGCAAGTCCAGAGAAGGGCCACAGAGATGATTGAGGTGGGAGCCCTGGTGACAGAGGATATAAAGAAGGCAGAGGTGCTGAATGCCTTCTTTGCCTCTGTCTTTACTCCTGCAGGGTTTCCCCATGAGCCCCAGATTCATATAGCCCCAGAAGAAGTCAAGATAGAGGAGGAGTTTGACATGGTAGATGAGGATTGGGTTAGGGATCAGTTGAGTAATCTGGACATCCATAAATCGATGGGTCCGGATGGAATGCACCCAAGGGTGCTGAGGGAGCTGGCAGAGGTCATTGCTAGGCCACTCTCCATCATCTTCAGTAAGTCATGGGTAACAGGAGAGGTGCCTGAGGACTGGAGGATAGCAAATGTCACACCAGTCTACAAGAAGGGCAAAAAGGAGGACCCGGGTAACTATAGACCGGTCAGCCTCACCTCCATCCCTGGAAAGGTGATGGAACAAATTGTTCTTGTCACTGTCTCTAGGCATATCAAGGACATGGGGGTCATCAAGAGCAGTCAACATGGTTTTATCAAGGGTAAATCATGTTTGACTAACCTCATAGCCTTCTATGAGGAAATTACTAGGTGGATAGATGATGGTAGAGCGGTAGATGTGGTTTATCTTGATTTCAGTAAAGCATTTGACACCGTCTCCCACAGCATCCTTGTAGAAAAGTTGATCAGGTATGGGTTTGGTGATCAGGTAGTGAGGTGGATTAGGAACTGGTTGAAAGGAAGGAGTCAGAGAGTTGTAGTCAATGGGGCAGAATCTGGTTGGAGGTGTGTGACTAGTGGAGTCCCACAGGGGTCGGTACTGGGACCGGTGTTGTTCAACATCTTCATCAACGACCTGGATGAGGGTATAGAATGTACCCTCAGCAAGTTTGCTGATGACACTAAGCTGGGAGGAGTGGCTGACACACCAGAAGGCTGTGCTGCCATTCAGAGAGACTTAGATAGGTTGGAGAGTTGGGCGGGGAGAAACATGATGAAATTCAACAAGGGGAAGTGCAGAGTTTTACATTTGGGGAAGAACAACACCATGTCCCAGTACAGGTTGGGGGCTGAACTGCTGGAGAGTAGTGTAGGTGAAAGAGACCTGGGGGTCCTGGTAGACAGGAGGATGACCATGAGCCAGCAATGTGCCCTTGTGGCCAAGAAGGCCAATGGCATCCTGGGGTGCATTAGAAAGGGTGTGGTTAGTAGGTCAAGAGAGGTTCTCCTCCCCCTCTATTCTGCATTGGTGAGGCCACATCTGGAGTATTGTGTCCAGTTCTGGGCCCCTCAGTTCAAAAAGGACAGGGAACTGCTCGAAAGAGTCCAGCGCAGAGCTACGAAGATGATTAGGGGAGTGGAACATCTCCCTTATGAGGAAAGGCTGAGGGAGCTGGGTCTCTTTAGCTTGGAGAAAAGGAGACTGAGGGGTGACCTCATCAATGTTTACAAATATGTAAGGGGTGAGTGTCAGGGAGATGGAGTTAGGCTTTTCTCAGTGATGACCAGTGATAGGACAAGGGGTAATGGGAGCAAATTGGAGCATAGGAGGTTCAAGGTGAATATCCGAAAAAAATTTTTTACTGTGAGAGTGACAGAGCCCTGGAACAGGCTGCCCAGGGAGGTTGTGGAGTCTCCTTCACTGGAGACATTCAAAACCCACCTGGATGCGTTCCTATGTGATGTGCTCTGGGTGACCCTGCTCTGGCAGGGGGGTTGGACTAGATGATCTTTTGAGGTCCCTTCCAGCCCCTAAGATTCTATGATTCTATGATGGGGGGCCTGGAGCAGCTCTGCTATGAAGACAGGCTGAGGGAGTTGAGGCTGTTCAGCCTGGAGAAGACAATGCTCCAGGGAGACCTCTGAAGACAGCAAAATAATTCCCTTCTACGAATAAATTCCTGCTTTATATATTATGAAATGCAGGACAGTAGCATGTTCAGTGCAGTTCAGCTCCTTTTTAAGACACTGAGATAACTGAAGGCTGACTTAAAAAAGAAGAAGCTGTCTAAGGCCATGCTGTGAGAACAGCCAAATATGTGACATGTTTTTATTAAGATGAAGATACTTCCAAAATACAACAAAGTAAAAGATTACCTCATAGAGAGGAGGAAAAACAACAACACCAAACTTGAAGGTTTCTAAAATATTGCCAAAACCCAAAAACTCTTGGAAAGCGAAGGCACAAAACAGGGCTTCAACTATGCCTAAAAGAAATAACTGCAACCACAAGTATTGTTTTGATTAGAAGAAATAAACTGGAAAGGCAGAGGCTGACACAGAGCTAGTTTAATATTTCAGACCTAATCTGGAGTTTAATAATGCTGTGACCCTTAAGTGTAACAACTGGGATCCAAAAGGACAGTGGGCTGTCACAGAGTGTACTTTTGTAAAAAGTAGAATTAACCTTAAAAATAGGTTTTCTTGATGATACTGGACTGCTCACACTTGCCTGATCCAGAAAACTTGTGGGCATTTCTTTATGTTGCTGCCATTGCAATCTGCTGACACAATTTTCTAAATAGAATTTAAAGATAGGGTTGGGTCTGGGGTTTAGGGTGGGTTTGGTTTGTTTGGGTTTTTTTTGTTTTGTTTGGTTTGTGGTTTGTTGTGGGTTTTTTGGAAACAAAAAATGCAAACTCTGAGAGTCTGCATTTAGTGAGGATATTCCTTTGGGAATTGAACATTTTTCTCAAAGATATAAAGTAGGGGTAAGAAAACTCCAGTGTACAAGAACCTTAGACTATGCTACAGAACACAAGCTAAGTGTGACCTTGGTCAACTTACCTTGACATCAAGTACATCAAGATCAGACTGGCTCATAGCTGGCTCTGCAGCAACCTTTTGTAAGAAATAGATTGAATTCTTCTTACTTTCAATCTCTCTAGGCATCTTTTCACTAACCAAGTATGAATTGAAATTTATCTCTTCTTCCAGTTTCTTCATTAGACCTTAAAGACAAATTAAATCAGTGAGTGTCTATAAAAGCAATGTAGCAGATAATTAAGTTTGATTTCACCAACATATCAAACTACTTAGCAGCAGGTTACAAGAACAAGAGCAGAGCATTTGAGTCTTCTCTTCAATGCTCAAAGAATTAGGTAGTTCCTTGATTTAGATTTTTTAATCTGCATGTTAGACAATAAGTATTATTATCCATCTGTATCTCTAACATATAACTATGAACTACTTGGCAGATTCTTTTCATCAATAAACAAGTAAAACCCTTCTGGCAAGTAACTACCTGAATCAAATGCAAAACTCAACAAGCAGCATTGCTACAGGAAGCCATTCACCCTACATGTGTCTTACATCAAGATATTGGATTCAGTGTCAGTTTTTGAGTGGTGAATTATCTTCTTCTGAAATGTTATAAGTTAAGAGCTCAACTTTGGGTGCTTATGTGCACCCAAGATAAGGGGCAGCAAAGCATGTCACAGCTATGCTGACTTGCTCAGAGGTTTTTTGAAGCTTCTGTCCCTTGGAACTTCCCTGGCAGGAGCAGTGGAACAAGGATCCCAAAGTTGGTCCTACCCACAGATTGCTGAAGTCATTGTTTCATGTGAGTTACTTTATCTACAGACCAAAATTATCTCCCTGTGAATCCTTTATCTGTACCAAGATCTTAATTTGGCCTAGCTCATGTATAAATGTGTTATATCCTTGGAAATTCTCACTTAAAATAAAACTTTATTCTAATCTGGCATCAAAAAAGGCCTTAAGGCAGAATTGAATGTCTGTCTACTGTAAGGGTCTTCCACATTGCTGGAACACTTATGAATTGCCTACCTGTAAATAGCACACTGTTTTTCCTTGTTAGAACAAGTCCTTAGTCTCAGGACAGTACATAGACTAAGACTGCTGAAAGTAATAAAATAGAGAAAACCAGAAGGGATTGTTGAGCAACATCAAAACTCTGTTGAGAAAAGCAATCACATTTGTAAGTTTTACTGTCCACAGCCTGATGCACACTGCACATCACCATGCTTGTGATTACTTGTCTCTTGCTAGACAGAGTAATTTAACAGATAACTTATAAATAAACACAGGTACAGTCAGATAAGAACAATATACAGCTAGAAAAATGCAGCAGAATAAAATAAAGCATCTATTTAAGTGACATTGCACAGTCTTCTGCTGACAACAGGCAGTTTAGTGCAATTACTCCTTCAAGACACCTGTGCCAAGGGCTAAGATTTGGAAGTTACATGTCAAATGAGGGTGGAAATAGTTATTTCAGAATATTTTTCACTATCTAGACAACCAAAAAAGGAAGTATCCTGGGTACTTTTTAAACTGCTTGCTGGAGTTCTTTAGGGTTTTTTTGAGAGGTGGTATGAATACAAAATGCCAAGAAAAACAAGAAATTCACTATCTTTGTCTCTTCCATAGGCTTCACAGGCAGAGAAAGGCTTGAGCACAGTGATACAATAGGCCAGGTGATGTTGCTGAAATGGAGATGGGAAAGGATGAAGGGGAAAGCAGAGGTTTGGCTTCTCAGGCTGAAAAGCCTGCTGACTGTATCACTGAGTGATGAAAGGAAAGGCTCAGAACAAAGTGCAACACAAGCCTAGGAAAAGGAGCCCCTCTTACCCTGCTGCTATTCAACCTCCAGGAACACTACTGATAGATGCTCCTCAGCCTCTGCTCCCAGCTCAGGCTGAATGGAAAGCTACTTGGTTCAGCTGCCAGAGAGGAAACAAGCCATCATCAGGCTTTCTCAAGAACTAGATGGAAAACAGGCCCTAGGGAAAGCAGTGCCTCTAACAAGGTCAAGTCAACACAAACTAAAAATGAGTGGGAATTCCTCTTTTCCAGCAGTTTGGTTTGTTGACTTCTGTGTTTCTGAAGAGCAACACTACCACATCATCTTCTCCCCTCAACGGAGGGGTCACTGATTTTGAGAAAACAAACAGGATCAGTACTAGCCTCAGACTGTTACTCTACATCTGCAACAGCCTTTACATCCTTGGCACTGCAGCTACACCCTGAGAGACATTCTTGGACTTACTGAGAGAGAATTCCCACTTCTTTCTTCCAGGAGAACTCAATTTCAGTCTGCCTCAGCCCACGACAGAGCTGGCCAGGTGGGACCACATTTTAATGTCTCACTAGAAATCTACCTCCCCTGCAAATGCAGCAAAGCTTCCCACAGAGCCTGTGAACTGAATTACCACCTCAGAACTGGCTCAGAACACAACTCTCAGTTTAATATTTATAACCAAGATCTCTGGTGTGGAAATCAAAGTGATAGCAATTAAATTATGCTGATATTAAACATTAATTTTTTTTCAAACTAATTTCTGGTTTTCCTCTTAATAGCAAAAAAAAAATCTGCATGTATAGCCTATACCTTATTCCTTGGACTGCTTCAGTTTCTTTGTAAGAACCTACATGCCTGAACAATTTGTTACAGAGATGACACTAATCTCAGGAAACAGCCATGCCTGAACAACTGCTTTCATAAGAGTGGGGACCTATTGATTTCACAGGGTATAACCTTGATCTAGATTTATGATCTAGATTTATGTTTCAGATAACCTCAGAGCTAGTACCAACTTCTTTCCAACACAGACTGCTTCTGCATCATGGTTACTCCTGACGCTGCAACAAGCAATGAAGCGAGTTAAAACCTGACATCTTGATGGGGAAAACCATGTCAACATCCCTACTTTCTTTCCTAAATACTTTAGCTATATTTTTCCTCCTCTACAATTCAACACATGGAGAAGTAACTACTTAAAGGCTATTTCTGCTGCTTAACAGAACCTTAAAAAAAATCAGGCAGCTCTTGTTTGAATCTTTTTCAGTGAAAACCTTTCTTTTTTCAAATTCCCAGGCTAGAGGAAAGAAAAGCAAGCATACTTTAAATCTTTCCATTACACATATAATTTCTGTTTTTAATATTTTAACATTGACTTACGGTTACAAAATCTACACACGTAAGCTGCACAGAAAGTCTGGCTCTGTGCCCTAAGATTATTTTAGCAAGGTTTTGCCAACCATGTATTTACATGTGGAGAGCTATTAAAAGCAATTCCTCATGTTTTCATTTTTTTAAATTATTATTATTACAAAGAGAGGGATGGGAGAGAGTTTCTTAGTGCCTGCTCAGTCATGTAGAAAAGAGGCAAGTTTCTCTGCATAATTCTGCTAATGGATCTAAAAGTTGTTTCACTTTGTGCTCAGGGTCTTTTCCTCCTTCTTCTCCCTGTACAGGCTACCAGCTGTGCATCCCATACCAAAACTATTTGCAACAATAACTGATTTTTTTAAAAAGGAAAATTAAAAAATAATAACTCATTTTATAAATTAACTGCCAACACTGTTTAATGTCACACAGGAAGATCTTTGTGGTGACAAAGGCAGGTCTAGAAGAGATTTTCACATGGCATTTAATGACATCAAAACTTCCCCCTCCTTTTCCACAACCACCCTCAATTAGAGAATACTGGAATTATTCTCTCCACAGCACCAGTGACAGCACTTCCAATTTCCTTCTATTAAACATGCAAACACTGACAGATCAGGACCAAATCACCCCTTCATCAGAATCATCACCAAATCACCTCCTTGAAAAACTAAAAAGCTTCCTGAATTTGCTGTTGTAAATTATGCTTCCCATGTGTAGAATCATTATTGATGCTCTCTGAAACCTCTCTAACCTTTCAACATTTTTCTTCAAGACTGGTCCCTGGACACAGTGCTGCAGTGATGGAACTATCAGAGCTTTTTAGAAAGAGAGTTAACATTCCAATTCCACTTCCTTCCATAAATAAAGACATGGATAGCATCAGACCTTTGACATTGGAAGCTCCAGTTCTACCATTTGTACCCCATGACCCACAACTCCTTCTCAGAGTCACTTCTTAGGGAAGTGCCACATGCTATAACTATATTGCATATATGTTACTCCTAGAAGATTGTGGCATTTGGCTGTTCCTTAGATACAGATAATGTTGGCATGGGCTTGGCTTCGTAAGTGATTAAGATCACTTTAAAACAACAGTCTGCTCTCCTCATTACTCAGTGATTTCCTCAATTTTTATTTCACCTGATAATTTCAGTGATCATTTGTTGTTTTCCTCCAGGTATCTGCTGTGAATACAAAACAAAGAGCCAGACACCAATTTCTGCATGTCCTGAGTAGAAATATTTGCTCATGATTAATTTCCTTTCTAAAACTTTCTGTTAACTCCTTTTAATCCCTTCAACAGAGGTCATGTTGACTTTTTGCTGCCTTGCTTATTCTTCAAAGTGGGGTGCAAGTTAAGAGTCAGTGGTCTTAAGAAATCAACCATAGCAATACTATTAATCTCACCAAGCAGACTTGTATTCTCAAAAATACAAAGTTAGCTTAGAAGTGCTTTACCCCTGATTTTGCAACTACTGACAGTGACTTTATAATAAATAAAATCATATAAAGATGGAAATAAAGTTCCAAATAAACCATTCTCCTTTACCAAACACACCTATAATGTGGCCTGCAGTGTTAGTGGAGATAATTTAAACTTAAAGATAGTTCCACAGAAAAGAGAAATTGTAATGTATTCATTCAACTGGAATATTAAAATAATAGCATCCTAAATTTCTATTTTCCAGCAATTTTTCAGAATGACATAAAATAGAATCTGTTCAACTGCTACCTTTGATGTCCTCAGTGCTCTAAATCTATTACTACATATTACCTTAATGAAGTACATAAACTACAGATTTCACTGTTGAACAACAATTATCTTAACACTTTCTTTTAACCAATATTTTCAAGCTAGTCACCCACTTGCTCATATTTCTGCCAATAAAGTGAACAATAATGTTCTGTAAAACGGGCAGAGATCAAGAATTTTTATAATTCAGTTCACTTGTTGGCATTAAAAATTTGGGTTTGTGCCAGAAGAGGTATTCAAAGCAAAAAGGTTGCAACCTTGCTGTGTTAATGTAATAAATGTTAATTGTATGTTAATGATATCCATGAATATATGCTAGTTACATTCTTTAAAGTGTTCCTTTACATTTCTTTAAAGTACTTCATCCTAAATTAAGTAATCAAAGCAGCATGCAGCCATAAGACAAACCAAAAAGTTTCTATTCATTAACAACAATTTCTATAATTTTGTCTTGCTTTGGAATGAAAAACATGAAGTATTAAAAATGGAATAATATTTTAAAGGAAAGAATCTAATTTCCAGTAAAAAAAAAAAAACAAAAAACACACCTACCAACCAGCCCTAGAACTGTCAGCACACAAGCTACCCTGATAGGAGTAGGCAGCTGAGACACCACACTGTGCCAAAGGGAATTTTTAAAATAAAATAAATGGTACTAACTGTAGACCAACAAAGCTTTTAAAATAAATTGAATCCTACTCACTGCCCTGTGGTCACCTAATTTCAATTATTTAAAACACAGTTGGCATTCTGCAATTGCTACTCCAGGCAGTGTCTTTGTAACTACTGTGAGGGAAAGCAATTACAAAGCTCAGGCCTGAACTCTTTGTTTGGGTAAAATTTCAGCACAAGTTTTCTTAAGCAATGACTCCCAAGTTTCTCTTCAGAACATCTAAACACTTCTTTTTTCCTGCAAGCAGAACTCAAGATAAGGAAATGAAATATGTTAACTTTATTTTCATCTCCATGATTAAATGACATATTTACTGCCTTTTTATTGTGTTGCCTTTGCTTCTGTGAACTGAACCCATCAAGTTTCCATTGGCCTTAAAAAAAACCCAGGAACTCAAATAGAAATGTTGACACAGCTTTGCTGTATAAACTGTCTGATAGCTACTGCAAAAATGGAACAGTTATAAAATCCACTGCAGGTTCCTCTAAGTAAAGAAGAGAATTCAGATGCCCTTTTAGTTCCACTGGTGGTTCAGTGGCTGATGAGGATCGTAAGCAAATGGAAGTAAAATTATGAAGTAATAACAATGCAACATGGTGGTGACTGAAAAAATTTCTCCAACTCAAAACAGCAGACAAAGCAGGTCAGTGATGCCACTGGAATATTAAATGCACTTGAAAGAACAGGACAGTGACTGACTTTGGTAAGTCTAAATCAATAAATAGTCAGATTCTGTAATTTGGGAAGCAGTTTAGACATAAAATCATAAAATCTGTGACATTATTTTTTTACCACAGCAACTCAATAAAACTGGAAAAGCCCTGTGAAAAGGACAGTCTCACAACCCCTCACACTACTTCCCATGCAGTAAATGGGCCCTGTAAATCAAGGCCACTGTCTGCAGGAACAGCACATGCAGCCTCTGCTGTCCTGGGAGCTGTTACTGGTAACCACAGACAAACTGCCAGCTGGGAGGGGGTTCAGTGATTTGCCATAGATCATCTACATGTGAAACACTCAACCCTCAACTGACTCTCAAGTTTGTTATCAAATTGTCAGGTTAATCCTTGGTACACTTCTTCAAAGTGATTAAATCCTCAGAAATCCAAAGGCTGTGATCTTGCAGCCTCTGAACACAGGTTTGCATTTATCCAGTAACTGCAATTCCTTCCCACTTGCTGTTTTTATAAACGATCATGGAGAATTAACTTACTCCACAAGTAGTGGAATTTATTTTGCTGAGGTTATTTGCAGACTGAGCTATCACTGAAAATGAGAAGAAGCAATCTCGCTGCTATTAACAGAATACAACACATAACTCCATCACCTAGAATTGTATATTGAGAACAAAGTATTTTCACATGGGAACAAATATATCCAAATATAAAATATTAATATATAAATATAGTATTAAATATATAGATATATCTAGTATATATGCTTATAATCACATATAACTGTGTGTGTTTATATATAATCCATCATCTTAAAAAAGCTTAATTAGGGAGTAATTTTATTTTTAGTACCATAAAAAACTACAACACAAAACTGCACTACAATAAGAGGCAGGCCTTATAAGATTTTGAAACAAAAAAGTAACTAGAAAAACAAGTCTACACTGAATAAAACATAGTATTCAATGTATTTGTACATTCATTGAGAAAATGTTTAAGCAGCAGCATTTCACCAATTACAAACCCCAAAAGACATGAAGCCTTACAACATCAGAAGCTGGTCTTGCCTGAGAAGTTTCTACTTTTTCCAACCCTTTGTGGTTCCAACTTTTTTTTCCTTGTAGAATGTTAGGGTTAGTCTTAGGTATGTCATGATTTTTTTTTAAAGTGGACCTCAAAAATACAGCTGGTATCATTTTCCCTTGTGATTGTCTCCCTGGGTTTTTGCAGCAAGGCAGATTCAGGCTCAGGGTCTCCTGCAGCATGTGCCTTTACAACACAAGTTACTGCTTTTGTTAGACTCTCTTAAGTTCCTATATGCTTTCTGGCACTGCCATGTTACTGACAGCCATCCAGTTTTGATCTCCTTTCCAACAGAAAGCTGTAAACCTCCAGCCTTTATAGATAACTACTTACTTTCAGGTTTTGAATCCACTACTGCATGATGCATTTCTTTCAGCTGGAACCGTGCTCTTTGCAGTCTCTGCTCTGCATGGAACAACTTTTGAAAGAGAAATGGACACTCAAACACTCATTCCTTTGAAATGCTTATTCAAACAACTAAAACAAAAAAGTATCAAAAAGAATCCCAAAGATAAAAAATGGCAGCTCTAAGCATCTGGTGATTATCAGTTTCACAAAGTACCAAAACAAATTTTCAACAACTGGGCTGGGTTTACTTGATATTCTCTAGTGTTAATTAAGGAAAGTCATCTTGTACTCCAAAGTGACTTATTCTCTATGGCAGAAATTCATTAAGGAATTTTCAAACAAAAATATGATTGGCTTGGACCTTACAACACACAAAAAAGAGACAGCAAGAATCAGGATTGCAGCAGGTAACTACCCTGATACTGCAGTTCTTCAATGCAGCTGAGTTGTCACAGCAACCCACTGTCCAACTGAGAGCACACTGGAAAGCTTGTTGCCAACCAACAGCCAGTTGATGAGCAGTTCTGTGATGTAGAGAGATGTGTACTAAGAGCTGGAATTGGCTGGATTCCACATTTGTCTTACTTGTGAGCCCACTCAGGCTTGAGCAAAGACCCAACACCTTGAAAGCCTGCTGATTCCCATTGTTTCCACACCCTCATACAGACTGTAACATAGTCTGGGGGGGTTTCACCTTTTAAGAGTGTTTACGTTCATATTACTGAATTTGGTGAGATGATACAACAATATAGCACTGGATTTTATGATCTTGTTTTGACAACACAGCTCAGGAACAAGACTCACCCTTATATCCACATGTTAACAGCTTACAGTGCTTCCTAGGACATCATCTTTCTCACACTTGGGGACTAAAATCCCAAGGCTGCTCCTAAATACATATTCCCCCCACCCAGTGAAAAACTGAGGTACTTGCTGTGTTACTGAGCACCTCAAATTGTAGTGCAGATACAGAGATACAGATCAAACTAAGGAAGCATTTGCTCACTATCATAAATACAAATTCTCTCTGGGTGCTACACCAGTAAGTCATGGAACATTTCCTGGGCCTGCTAAATGATGTCATTTGTAGCTGAGGCAGCCAAGTACTTTGAATGAGGTGATCTTGACTTGCAGGGTCAAGCCTCTTCCTTTAAAATGTACATAAATATTTCAATTTTAAATGGGATTTAATTTTCTGATGTTGGAAGAAACTCTGTACTGCTGTTCTTGATGTAGCTTTTTTAACATATGACTTGCAAAAAAAAAGTCAATATCTAGTTATTTTAGTAGGTATGCTTTTAAGTCAGTACCTGATTTTTTTGTTCTTGTTTCTGTTGAGCCAAAGATTCTTCTCTCTCTCTTTCTAGGCGAAGCTGTCTTGCTATTTCAAGCATTTGTTGATGATTTTGTACTGTCTCCACCTACAGCAAGTGGATAAATAGTGCATGTTACTGTCAGATAGTTGAGAAATGCATTAAAGAGATCGTATGTCTTACAAGCCCACTTAGCACTTCCTTTCCATACATGTTACTACTCAGAAATGACAGCAAAGTACTGGACTCAAGATTCTTAAAAGCTCTGGACAAACGCCTGGGGAGATTCCCTGTAGGTCAATTAGTTATTTGATTCCTTCCTAGACATGCTGTGTGTTTATCTTAATCCTTGTTTGCATTCCAAAATCAGAGTTGCAAGCCAAGGCTTATGACACTGAAATGTAACAGTGTTACTTCTCTCATTACCCGCTTCTTGAGACGCTCTGTTCTTTTGATGAGTTGATCTTTCTCCTCTTCCATTGCACTGATGTCCTAAAAAGCAGAAGAAAAATAAATAAATCTTAATTTATTTACAATATAGTATGGACCAGACTAAATTCTGTTCAAATTAATAAGAAAATCAGAGTTCTTCTCTGACTACACTGATGTGGTTATAATTTTATTGATCTATGATCAGAACATCCAGGATTTCAATCTCTCTCTTCTCTCTCACTTCCCCCACAGCTCCTACTCTCTTTAGGCTAAAATTCCTTCATCTGCATCCTTGACTATTAGTGTGAATATTTCAAATCAAAGCAAGTGATTTTCTCTTAAACTAAAAACAAACAGAAACAACCAAGCAAAAATCAACATGAATTCAACAGCTGATGAAGTCAAACAAATGCTCTTAATGTTACCATCATTACTCAGTTCCTGGCAGACAGTTTTGCATGAAGTTGCCCTCAGGTGATGTTTGCTGTCACTTTCTGTATTCAAATTGTGTTGAAAATAAACACTTCCTAGTGCTAAAACATGCATCTGATTATTATTTTCCTGTAAGCCTATCTTACAACAGCAGGACTCCACAGATTTGAGAGAAAGGGAAATAAATTCTCCAAATTTAGGCCCTATCTCAACATTTGCTTAATTTGTCCATATGTCTTCCTGGAGAGCCAGACCCACACTTAAATACTTTGCTGAAACAGGGCAAATGCCTCTGCTTAACACCTCAGCCACACAGGATCATCTTTTTGGTTGACATAAGCTCTTCATTCATTCAGCACCCTCTGAAATGATTACCCTGGTCCAGGAAAGCAAAAGGCATGGTATCAGTTTGGAGGAAAGAGAGTTCTAATATTTGAAAACCATTTGAGAATCTTGGCAGCCTCATTTTCCAATCTGCTTCAGAAAGCTCAGTCCCAGGCACGAGCAAGGGCTTTCTCATCTATTTGCCAACAAAGAACAGCTCCAAAAAGGCAGTTGCAGTGTCTACCAGCTCTGACCTCTACACCTTAGGCACTGCTATGAGTCCATGAAACCAAAAATAGAACTGCCATTAAAAAAAAATCTAAGCAAAAGTGATGCAATTTTGTTAGATTTTTTTACCCTTCTTATTTCTGCAGTAGATAAACCAGATGTTTTGAGCTGCTCACACTCCTTATGTAGGTTTTTGAAGGCTTCCATCATTTCTTCATACTATAAAATGAAATAAAAATCATGCAGAATGAGCTGTGTCTAAGAATTTTCAGATCAACATGTTGCTTTACTACTAAGACAGTAAATACAGAAATATGGGGAGAACAAGAATTAAAAGAATTTTTTCCATCACAAAAGCTTGTCAGCTTATAAAGAAAAATATGAAAAATCAGTGAATTTTCTTCCCTTTGAAAGTAACCCAGGAGCTTCACAATTTCTTTAGTATTTTCACATCTTTCCATATAATACAAAGTGTATTTTCAAAGCAGGAAGAGAAGATGTTCCCTGAAAGAGACAATGCTATTTAACAAATTATTCTTTCTTACTATAAATCTGTGCATATCACATCTGTAAATTTATCAGCCCAAAAAAGAAAGAGTTTGATCTAACAACCTGCTTGATGGAAGCAATGGGGCATGAATTTACGGAGCACTGAGCTTCAATCTAGCAAAGAGCTCCAAGACCACACCTGACTTCATGTGTGAAAACCAGGTTTGAGCCATTGCATAATCATGGATAATTTAGAGATTGATAGAAGTAGTTTGGTAGTTAGAAAGAAGTAGACAGCGTGCTACTTCCACACCAGTACATTGCCCACCAGTAATCTTAAACTGAGAGGCAGTGTGAAAGTTTGTGTGGGTAGAGAAATAACAGAGGACAGAAAGAGTTTAGAAATATGGATAGGAAATAAATTTAGATTGGACTTGGAGAAATGCAAGCTGAGATATAAGGAAAAATAATCTCCACAGAAACAGCCATTCAATAAGCTGGGAAAATCTAAAAAGAGACTATCAGGTCATTTTTTTTACTTCCTGGAAAGTGGAATTGATACGAATGTTGAGCACAAAATGGCAAGGCAAAGGCCAGGTTAAACACAGGCAGCACATCCCTGAGCGGTGAAGCAGCAATTCCATCTATAAAACCTTGGGGAACCAGCATCTAGAAAGCTCTGTTCATTTCTGGTTGTTTCAAGATCAGACATACACTGACAAGCTGGAATGAATTAAAAAAACACAATAAAATGGCTACTGAGAAGAAGAGAAAAAAATAAAGAAAGAGCTTGATTAAATGGCAAATAGAAGTATGATTAGGCATGTGCACACAGGACAATGGAGACCAAGTTACAAACAGGCAGGAATAAATAGCCAACTGGCCTGCATTTTATCACTTATTCATTAGAGAAGTACTTGAACAAATAATGAAATAGCAGGTAGTCTCTGAGCAACTGTATTTCTGATTGCTATATCCAACAGCTTTCCTTTGTGTGGAGTCTCTACCTCTTTCAAAAGGGAAGTTTAGTGAGTCTTTTCCTTATTGGGACACAAAGACTAATGGTAAGACTCCAACACAGGCACAGCACAGTCACCCAGATCATAAGGAAGAGAAGGTTTCTTGCTTTCAGCAAATAAAAGCTGCGGCCTCCTCATCTGCACCCAAAATGAGTGACACACTCAAATGACCAAAGAACACCCAGGTTCCTGCACTGGAAAGAAACATTCCTTGGACCTGGGGACAACTCACTGAGGACTGGACAACTACATTTATGCCTGAGGTTTCTTAGCTTTTATACATAGTGCAGCCAATCTGAACTCCAAATTCCAACACAGCTGGGAAGGTGGCAAGTTCCCTGAGTATCTTGTTCAATTAATTTACAAATGGGCATTTGAGTTTGATTCTACACACCCATAAAACTTGACCATGTTCTAAGATCACCAAACTCGCATGTTTGAAATATTTCTCATAAAATACACTATTGCAAGCCTATCTAAACACTTTGGGCTAAATTCTTTAATTCATTAGTGTCTAAATATTTGCATGGCAATGCTAAATTACATCAGGGCACTCTATTACCCCAGCTTCTGTTTTGAATTAATCAGCAGGGCATTAGTTTAATAAGACAGTTATATTAGTGTAATCCCAAAAAGGATAATATCTTACGTAATGGAAATAACAGAGTTGGATATTTATACATATTAAGGCTGTGACATACTGAAAAAAATATACAAGCTGCATTCCTTTCTCTCTGCTACTTCTGCTTAGCTATTCCAAGTTATAAATCAAATACTGTTAGTGGTAACATAAGAAAAGGAAGACTTAATCAAGCTTTACTCAGACTATGCAGGTTTGCTGGAGCACAGTTAATAAATCAATTTACCTGCTATAAACATTCAAAAACACTGAGATTTTTCAAGTCACTATACATAAAAGCATGGAAAGCTGGATAAAAATTAGGTAAATATGTACCTCAGATAATACAGATCTAAAACTCTAACTTTGGTTCACTTAAAGTTTTACATTTCAAACCCACCCACTCTATCTAAAATCAACAGTTAATGTTCACAAAAGAAGTGGGAACATAATGAGTAGGAATGTCAGCCCAGAAAAAAGGATTTTTTTACTTATTCACAAAAAAAATAAATGGTTGAAGCAGAAAAGGGATAAGACTAATGCAAATATTAGGTGCTAAATACTGTACAATCATTTGACAATTAGAAGACAATGGCTTCTGGTCATAACATTTTGCAGACCAGTTTGAAGTGGTAATGTATAAAGTTAAAAATAACCATGTTGTAGTTCATAGGGTTTAAAGTTAAGAAATAAAAACCTGTCCTGGCCAAAATGGCTCTAACAATTTTTTAGGACCCAGTACCTAATGGACTCATAACCTCTTAATTCAGTGTTACCTCTTATTATACAATTTCAGGGTTATTGGAAGAAAGATGGTCAAGACACAATTTTAATTACCAATCTTGGCTCATCCTCAACTCCAACACACTCTTACCCTGACTTACTTGAACAGGTATTTCCACAGTAACTCCTCAATTCATTTCTCCCTCCTCCTATTGGCACTTCAATTATTATAAAATGTTGGCATTCATGACAAATGGTACCTGTTTGTTGTTGTCAGCCACAGTATCATCCTGTAGGAATTCTGCTGGAACTTCCAGCTTTACTAAGAAACGTGCCAGATAAGCTCTTTTCTTGAGTTCATTGGTCCTCTGAAGAAGCCAGTGTAAGAGAGGATGGATTACAGGTTTGCTTCCAGTAATTAACCCCTGGCGAAATGCACTCCTGTATGAAAACAACAAAAATACCAATAAATCTCCAACTAAAGAACACTGGCTTGGAACAAACAGTTTGCAGTATTTTGACATTCCACTTGCCTCATGATGTTCCTAGCGCAGCTAGAACATTCATGATGCCCGGCTGATATTTATGAACACGATTCTACCTCGAGATGGACAAAACACTTATCTTTCAGGAATAAAAGCAATGTGGGAAGAGTGCGGGTTTTCCGGGTGATAACTTGGAGCAGGAAGGTGCAATCCAACCTTGGTCTGGAAGGGGCTGACCCTGCCAGTCGTGCGGCACCCTCTCCTGGTTCACTCTGCAATAGCAGCTGCTGCTGCTGCGGGGTCCGAGGGCAGCTCAACCCGCAGGAGAGTTTTGGGGACATCCCCTACCCCAGAGTCTGTAAGGCCCGGGGGACGAGCTGTCTCCAAGGCGTTACACACACCCACTGGGACAGTCGAGGTCAAAAATATGCACAGCTACTGAATTAAGGGCCGTAGAAGCTGTGACGTATGTTTTAGTGTGATTTGTAGACAAAAAGATACTTACACGTCTGATACACTCCCTGGAGGTTTGTATTTGAGGATACCAAGAAGGCTCAACATTCTTTTAGCTGTTTGTTCTGGCAGCTCCTCTCTAATATCAACAGCATGCTAAATAGTAAAGAAAAAGATAATAATTATCCCCTGTTTGTCCAGGTCATGTTAACTAACTAGCAACATGAATTCACTTTATCCATTTACGACATGTCAATGAAGTGAGATGTTCCATATAGAACATCCTTTTTTATCACTAAACTTCAATTATCTTCTAATGGATTTTTCTCCAACATGTATTCAGGTAAATTTATCCCAGGTATACAGTTTCTTAGCTCATGGGACCTCATCTGTGCAGACAAACTGATTACTTCCACCACAGAAACCAGATATGCAAGCACACCAAGGCACATGTATCTGGATCCAAGTGTATGAATGATCCCTCCTAATCTTACACTATTGGTAGTCTCAAAGGAGAAGGATTCAATATTTATTATAACAGGTAAGTCAAGAGGTTCGGGCTCTTGATCAGCTCCTGCCCTGTGCCCACGTGCAAGACACATCCTGACCTTTGACTTAAAGAACTCAGTGGTTGTCAGTAAGAAGCAAGTTAAGAGCTGTATCCCAAGGAAAAATATCCAGTCACCAGGGACCCAGTATCCCTGGCCCTAGAAACATTTGCTGGTCTGTACACACAGATGTATAGACAGAAAGGATTCTTGCCAGGGACGTTCATTTCCAGGAAGATTCATACAAGCTGTTTTTGTAATCCAAGCATGCCATAAGATTATACAGAGCCAGACCTAAATAAAAGCATGTTTTTTTTGTGTTGAGCCCATTTAGGATGTTTGTAACTATGCAGGTCTAAGCACCTCTGATTTTCTTCCTTACCTTTGGGTCAATCTCCCCCAGAACATCACTGAGCAGCTGCAACAGCTGCACTGACTCTAAGGAGTCAAACGTGATTAAATTGTAGTTCTTCCTGAAGGGCTCCTGATTGAGCTTCTCAACAATGAACTGGATTTGATCACTCATAATGGTGTCCTGGAAAAACCTCTGCAGAGAAGACAGAAGAGATGTCGGGAGGCCTCGGAGAGAAGAGGGAGCTGGGAGCTGCCGGGAGGGCGGGCGAAGGCACCACCTGAGCGAGGCCCAGGGCGGCCCGGAGGCGGTAAGTGGGCACTGGGCTCGGCGGGGCCCAGCCCGGCCGCCCCCTCAGCCCCGGGGTCGCCCCGTGGTTTACGAAGGGAAGGTCCGACCCCTCACGGGACCTGCCCACCGGGAGAGGCCCCCGGGCCCGCGCCCCACGGGCCTGAGGTGACCGAGCGGCCTCGTCCTTCGCCCCCCGCGCGCGCCTCCCTCCCTCCCGGTCACCCTGGTAACGGTTGCCAGGCTAAGGCGGTGACGTCACTTCCGATGCCAACTCGCGCGACCAGAGCGGGCCGGGGCGCGGGGGCGACCGCGCATGCGCAGAGCGGGGCGGGCGGGCTCGGGTGGGTCTCCCGGCGGGTGCCCAGGGCAGCTCTCCTAGCCCTTCCCGCCGCGCTTCGCCGAGCTCTGGGAAAGCTCAGCCTCCCCATCCCGAATTGGGCAGGAAACGGGATTTTTTTACCCCCAGCTCCTGCCAGGAGGGCAGCTGGTGGTGCCAGAGCAGCAGGCCCTGTCCCCCGCCGTGCTGCGAGGCGGGGCAGCGCCCTCGCGGGGCTTCTTCGCAGCTCAAGTGCTCTTGATGCGAGGAGAGGCAGAAATAGGTGTGAGATTCACCCTTTATACTTTGCGTTCCTTAAGACGGAGGCTGTTGTCGCATGTGTGGGAGATGAACTAACAGATTGGTGCATTTACCCAATTAAGGCAGCTTTAGACAGCATAAAGAGATGTCAGGTGTGGCTGGTGTAACTACCAGGTGAGTAGTTACTTCATTTCCTTGACATGGAAAAGCGCACAGAGGATTGTTGTGGGGCAGGGATGGGAGGCCTGTGAAAAAAAAGGAATGGCAGTCCCGTGCCCAGGCTTTGCCCAGATAGCAAACTGATGTCCTCAGGGATGAGCCTCAGTTATCAGTGTGCCTCGAAGTAGCAGTAAATACGTAGTGCTAGCTCTGCTAAATCTGAAACAAGGAGAGGAACTTCAAAAACACCAAACAGACAAAACTACACTATATATTAAAATTGTTTACCAACCAGGTAACTCTTCATCTGCAAGATTTTAGTTACCAGTCCTCAAAAACCCGTGGTTAGACCTTGAATAGGTAGATTTTGGAGCCTCTGCTATTGCAATTAGCTTCTTGGATAGTCTCAGGATCCCATGTGATTCCACAGATGATGGATTAAAATACGCAGTGAGTCATATTTAAATTGGTGCCAATTGAAATGCACAGGTTGTAAATCACTGCAGAATTTGACTCAGTAAATAGCAATTATAAATGTAATATTTTGCAATTCTAAGCACTGCGCCCATCTTGGGTAGCTCCTTTTTGCTTTCTGAGGAACAGAAAATGCTTCATCAAGAATAATTTTGGTCTTCACAGGAAGCCTGAAAAGTGACACTGGCTTTTAACTGGCTAAACTAAGTTACAGAGGGGATGGATGGGTTGCTTGTGATTGTGTATGAAAGCTGTGGTAGAGCCAGGAACATAATCCAAGTCTCCTGACTGCTGGATTTGAACTTTAAAACCAGATCATGTTTCCTTTGTGCTTTCAGTCCATACACTGACCTTTAGGAATTGTATTTACCTACAAGTTCCCAGAAGAGATTTACTTTCACTTGACGTGCTTTTCTGGTATCGGTTACACTTCTCTTCTGATGAGTATTTTGCGTGTAGAGAACACAAAGAGCAAATGGAAATGGTATTTCCTGCGGAGGAGTGAGGGGCCAGGTCTGCTCCCTGTAGGCAGCACTCATAGGTAACACGGAGTGGTGGATGTGGGTCCATCACTTTGTGCTAGAGAAACACTTTCAGTAAATACTGTTGCACATCTTTTCTTCAGACCTTGGTGCAGAGGAGAGTGCAATTGTGTCCAAAGTGCTGAGGATGGAGAGGGATCTGCTGCTCTGAGGTTCTCCTTTACATCAGACTATTTCAGCCCCTACACCTTCCAAGAAGCAGAGCACCATTCTCCGCACGTCTCTGTAACATTAAAGAGGTAACAGATAAAGGAGAAGGATGTCTGACAAATTCAGAGAATGACAAGATAAGAAGGAGAAAAAAAGATGGTGAAATGGTTTCACTTTGTCATGGTGGAAAGCCATGAAGTCTGGTTGTTCTGACTCTTGGGGAAGGAGACCTCCATGGACTGGTCTGCACCTCTGAATCACAACAGACATAAAAGAGACAATATCTTTCAGTGCAGCCTTAGGTAAACACTACAGGAAGCAACTGAGATGCTTGTTTGATGTTTAACTTGTCTTAAGTGCTCTTAGTTGAGGTGATGTGGTGTCTGGATCAGGTCTTACAGAGTTGAAGGCAAGTGTTCATATATGTGGTATAATCCTGGGGCATTTTCCAAATTTCCAAATTAGTTTGCATGGAGAGTGATTCAGGGTTTCAAGCAAAGTTCCTTAATGACATGAGAGTTATACCAGCCTATAGTTCCATCCAGTTTTTTGAATGGGGCTAAAGTTTTCTATTACTTGGGAAAAGCTTGTGGAAGCTGCTTATTGGAAAGGCATCATGCAGAGGAAACGTGCAGAAGAAAGAGGATGAAGCCTGCAAATGAACTGTCCAGAGCTCTTTAGGTCTGCAGGCACAGTTTGGTTACTCACTCCTGACTTTCTCCTCCCTTCATAGCTACTGCAGTGTGGATGGCTGCCTTGCAGGACTCAGAGAGTTCAGCCACAGCAGCCAGCAAATCATAGTGAAACGAAACCTGAGCAAATCAAAATCCTGCTCCATGGGCAAGGAGAGATCACCTTATATGGGAACATCATGGGCAAGAAGACGAATACATCCAGCTGAGCTGCTGAGGTCAGACCCCAAACAGATGGAAGACGTTAATATGAAAACGAGCATTTAAAAAGAGAATACAACACTTACTTCTACTTAACTTATACAATCTGAGCCTTCCTGTTTCTCTTTTTATTATAAATATTGTGTTGTCTTATGTACGCATAAGGCTGACTGTGTTTTATTCCGTATCAGTTTCTTTGTGGCTGTTCTAGCACCTGAATGCTTCCAGGGTCTGTTTCTGGTTCCCACTTGCAGCTTTTTTAGTTGTTGTTATTATGTAGCAGGAGTTTGCTTGCTGAAAGTGTCACTAGGACCAGCCAGAGCAGTATGGTCTGTGGTCAGCAAAGCCTGAGCAGTGATCCCTGATGTCTCAGAAGATTAAGCCTGTTTGTGCAGAGTGTAACTTGTTCCTCTGTGCTGAAGCATTTAAGATGATGCTGACAGCCAAGAAGCTTGTCTGATACTGTTGTTTTGTCATGACTGCAGCCATAGGTAGCATCCCAGGTGATTTAAAATACTAAAAGATTGGAAGAAAAACATTCGATCTCTGGTTTTTAGATTTTATATCTTTCGTGCCTTTATGTGGGTCTTCCATTGCAAAAGGGAGGAGCCTGGTCCTTTTGATCCGGGTCTAGTGGATTCTCATCCAAGCTTCTTGTCTTTCAGACTTGGGGTCTGAGATTTACAGATCCCGCCTTGACAGCTCTGCATCTCTGACCATCTCTTGCTTGTGCATGGTTCTGTGGAGCAGGAGAGGGCTGCAGCCAAAGTATGTGCCTTGTATTGGCTCTGCACAGAGAGGTAGTGACTTTGTCACTCCCTTTCGTTCCCATGACCTGAGTGGGTACTGGGAAGTCAGTCCCAGAAGAAGGTCAGCATGACACTGGCTTCCATCCATTTAGACTTATCTCTACAGTTGTCCCAGCATTACTTCGGAGTGGCAAAGTCTAGAAGTCCCGAGGAAAGACAGTGCCATCAACAGAAGGTGACAAGACCAGTGCTGAGCTGTCAGTTCTGGAGCCCCAGGGTGGAATTTGCTCCTTTTTCTGTAACCAAATCAAAGGACAAGGCTCTTCATTGATCTGATGTTGGTCCATTCTTGGAAGATTGACATGGTTGTGGGAACTTTGTGGTGGGAGTGTGCCGTAGGATGTTACCTAGCAAGGTGGGGTTGCTTGTACACAGTTAGCTAAGCTTCCTCTAAAAAAACCTTGTAGTTTCATTTCTTGCCATGCTGTCTGGTTTTGTTTCTTGTCTGAAAAATCCAAAATAACTCCACTGAAGTAATCTCAGAGTTACACCAGTGTTTTGGAGATTAGAGTCTGCTCTGTAGAGTCTCCTGTTGAGGGTCAGATGAAATGGCAAGTCACCCTTGCAGCAGATTTCAAGAACAATAAGATGTTTTAGGAATATACAATAATTGGTTGCCTCTAAAGGGCAGATTTTCCTCTTTGTTGCCAAACTGGGGCTGTTCTCAGTGATAAGTGTTGGCTGAACAAAGTCTGCTGAAGTTCATGAAGTTGGTCTCATTCTTCTGGGAGGGCAGCCAGCCAGGACATTGAGCACACTGATCCCAATCTCACAAAGACTCAAGTCTGCAGGAAATTAAAGTTGCTTTATTAAGGTACTCTACCCACCTACTGCTGCTCAGAGCTGGGTTCCCACTGCCAGTTTCCAGTAACATGGTTACCCCAAAGCCCTGTTCTCCAGAAGCAGAAGGCTGAAATGCTATTATAACAGATGATACAAATAAAGGAACACTGATCAGTTGCTTTGCATTTCTGTTATTCAGATATTATTTTATCCCCCTCCAGAACAGTCTGTGGTTAAACTGAAGTGGTGTTAGCTCTTGTGGCTTGTTTTTCAAAGCAAAAGTTTTATGTTGCTTTTATGTAGTTGGAAAGTATCTTCTGACCATAGCATAGTTTTCAAAGTTTACAGTGTTTTTTTGAGCTAGAGGAGCTAGATGGCTTTCCTGTCAGCTTAAAAACAGAGGTGTCCCTCCTTTTATTAACACATCCAATTCAGTAGAAAGTGGTAACATTAGACAATGTTTTTTGAAGCATGAGGCATAGAAATAGTCACTTTGGAAAGTTAAGGAACGAGTATTTTAAGCTCTCTTAAAAAAAAACCCAAAACAACCAAAAAACCAACAGGGAGGGCACTAGGGTTTGTGACATAAGAAGTTAAAGTCTAGGTACACAGCAACACAGCATGGGCAAAAGTTTTTTGATTCCATCAAGCCCTGTTGCTCTTAATTGATGTTTCACAACTGGCATCTGAAGGGCCAGGATGTCACCTCATGTTGTCTGTATCTTTTAGAATGGGAAAACAGAAATTCTCTTCTTGCATTTATCAATCCATTTCTGACACAGCCAGAAGTTGTGAAGGTGAAAGCAAGGCAGACTTTGGTCCAACTGATGACATGTCTCACACAAAAGGTCTCAATTACTTGAAAATGTCCGTCAAACTTCTGTCTTGCAGTGTATTTTGTCCAAGAACAATACAAAGAAGCTGACCTATTTTATTCTTATGGGCTTATTTGTCCTTTCTGTTTTATCTGAGCAGTTGTACAGTCATCACTTCCAGACTCTGTCAGGAGATGGGTGAAGTTAACAGCTCAGTTGGATCACACAAATGACAGGATCTGGGATGCAGGAGAACACCAATGTAGGTGAGTCTTAACTCATGTGAGTCCAGTATTCAACTTCCATTGATACATTTGGTTGCTTTCCTCACATGCCTCTATCCTACCATTCAGTGTGGTTACTTTTCATTGCAGACAGCCAAGTCTTCCCTTTCTCCCTTAATATCAGGGAGTCACTCCCACTGGAGTGACTGCAGGATCTATGTGATGGGTCTG